AATGTTCGTCACTTAATTGATGCTGTGGTGATTAAACAAGTGATATTGTCCAAGCTGTATGTTTTGTAAGTATAAAAGGAAGTTGAGGGTCTCACATATTCCCCATCAACCACCAACATGGCAAATGCACAAATTCAAGTGATGTTTCTTCGTAACAAGTTTGGAAGACAGAACATCGCGTTCAACGGATATATTTTCTGTGTTAACAGAGGTGAGCGTGTATATCGGAGATGTACGATCCCCAACTGTCCAGCTACCCTTAGTACCCGAAACAACATCCCTACTGGAAACGGGCGCCATCCCACATCTACAGCAGCATCCGCGTCTTCCAGAAAATACAAGCCAGCAACGAGATAACGTGCATCCAACACGCAGCAGGAGGACTACTAACTCAGAGCTACTGTAACATCGACAGCCGCCTTAACCAACTAAAGGTTTGGTTTGGTTTGGTTTTATTTTGTTTAACGTCCTATTAACAGCTAAGGTCATTTAAGGACGGCCTCCCCTGTGTGCAAGATGCGTGCGTGTAGTGAATGTGTGTGTATTTTGGGAGCCTGCGATATGTTCACATGTTCGAGTTTGTCTCCTTGTGATAGAGACATTAGGAAGAAGAGGAAAGTTTTTTAGAAAGGCGAGAAGAGACAAGGTCCCAAATTTAGTCGCCTCTTACGATCATGCAATTGGGGGCAGCAGACACAATTCTTACGCCCTACCTGCAAGAAAAGAACGCTTGGAGAATGGTACAACAAGTGTTATCCAGTACGCCGACACAGCATCCCATCTTTTGCATTTAGAGTGACATTGTGATAAATGTGCTTGTTATAGAATTTTTATTTGGTGATTTGCTAGGATTTCTTAAGATTATGGACTTTTCTTTATCTGTGCTTTGCTAGGACTTAATAAAATTATGGACTTTTCATTATCTGTGCTTTTTATGGACTTTTCAATATTTCACCATTAGCAAGTTAGTGCTATTATATTAGTTTTATATCATGTATCTTTGTGCATGTGTGCATTATACGAGTATCAACCAGTGCTAAGTATTCCATGTGTACATGTAATTGTTTTATTTATTTTCATTCCCAGCATTGTATCTGTTTTTGCATATTTAATGATTTAATACATGATCTCTGTCTATACTGATTATATTTGTCATAAATTGCTTGCTAAATTTAGTTATATTTTATGAAATATATATATAACATACATGTAAATGTATAATAAAAATGTATAAAATTGATTTTATATAAAATTAATGAAAGCAGGTTTTCAATCAATGTATTTTGATGTATTTTTATTAAATAATAACTAGAATCTTGTATATATTTATTCATAATTCCAGTATATATTACAAAAATCAGGAAATATATTTGTTAAATATTCCTATAACTAACACAGTATGTCCTAGTGGTGAACAGGTAAATAATCTACCTGTACTATACCAGAACTGACTATAATGACACCTCTATTGTTTTCCAATGTTTATATAATTCCTTTGATCAGAAAAAAGTGGGAGAAAGGAGAACAAACCGTTGTCATACTGTAAAGGAAAAACTTAAAAGTTGAGTATACTGTATCAGGTTCTTGAAAATAAACAAAGTAGTACTGAAAGTTCTAATTACTCGAAGACGAACCATTACTATATCTTTGTTCGAACTGTTTTACGTATTTTGTATCACTGCAGAGTTGATAAAATCGTATTTAAAAAAATAGGTGAAGAATTTATTGAAGAATTGATGGATACTTTATATATTTGTAAGTGTGATCCTATGCAGACAAACTAGTCAAACCTGCTTGAGAGGTCACCTGAAATAAGCAGCCACCTTATGTGGTCAGTCTGTGGTCCGCCCGATTTAAAAAAAAAATGAACCTGAAATAAGCAGACACCTGTCTAATGCGGCCAGCGGTCACAAAAATCTGGCCAGAGACATTATCTCCACATGTATTCAGCGGTCATTTTGTCTAGCAATTGACATCAAGAAGATCACAATATATTAACAAGAATACATATCAGTAGAGCAAAGCTAATGACAATGTGTAATTAAAAATTAAAAACCATAGGTAAGGTTTGACACGTGGAATTGACAAGTTGTTTACACAGCGATTTTCAGCTTGCAGTCATACCGACCCATCAACAATGTTTTATAAACAAAACAATTAATCCCACCTTGTGTACTCAATCAGTTTGTTTACTCAAGATACATATCGTATCGAATGTATTGTGCTGTGAAAATACAGTTTACGGGGTACGGGGTACAGCGTAGACTGAAACAATTCATTAAATCGTTCAGCTTCGCAAGACTTTGTTGTGTATTGTAGCAAAACAATGTGTCTGCTTGCATAAGGAAATACACCTTCATTTCGGGTATTATCAATCAAAGTTTAAATAAATTCGATTTGTGAGTTCACCGATTCTTTTTTTAAACACCAGAAACGATGTTATCCACTGTGCAGTCATACAAAAACGTACAACAGCTCAAAAAAGAAGATGTATTTGAACTGTGTTTACTATTTACATCGTAAAGCTACATGTATTGTGAAACTAACTTTAAAGTCAGATATGTGTATCAAGATATATATCGTATCGAATGTATTGTGCTGTGAAAATACAGTTTACGGGGTACAGGGTACAGGGTACAGGGTACAGGGCACGGGGTACTAGAATCAGGTACATCCCGGTGAATTCCGGCTCGAACTATGTACGTGTATAATAGGTATGTACACTGCCGTGTGTGTAGACATACTACCTGTTCATTGCCATTTACAAACTTTGCCATTCACAACACGCAGGCTTAACACGCATTACCAGAAACGAAAGTAGGAGTTCAACTATAAAACGAAAGTAGGACTTGTGTGCAGTCGTGATGTGCATGTGTTGTTGATGATTTGAACGATTAAATATTTTCACAGGAATTTAGAATGAGTGTGACTCGGGAACTGTTTCCTAACCTGATAACAGAGAGGGATTAGCGTACATTTGTGTATGACTTAAAATGTTAGAACGGTAGTAAAGTCGGTAATTAGTGTTATAACACATTACATAAGTGCCATGCAAAGAAAGTTATTTGTGCGGATGTTCTGTCCCTATTGGAGGGCAACTGAGGACTATTGTATGAGGAAAGAACAACTGACGGTATGTTTCTTAAATATGTATCAAACGTTGTTTGGTTACTAAATACTTGCTAATGAAAGTTGAAAGTATAACGAATTGATGTAATTAAGGTGTTGAATTTTACAACTTGGATTCGTTATTGTATATGTCAAGCTTACATCAGTCAGACTAACACTGGCTTAAATACACTAATCATTAAAAGCTAAAGTGACGACATGTCACGTGCACCTCATTTACTAAGTGACATTGTTCTAGTTATAGATTATCACACTGAGTGTGTGTTTCAAGGTTTGTCGTAAGAACAATTTTCTCATCGCTCGCACGTGTATAAAATCTTGAGTCGACCTTATATATTTCTCAATTCATAAATGTTTACTAAATACAGTACTTTCCAAATGACTTATAGCTATAGGCTCAATGATCGATCCTCGGTCTGTGACAAACGTAAACAAAAATAAAATACGTTTCCAAATGGGAAAATCTATTCTCAACTTCTTCTCAAGTCGTTCTTAACTTCTCATACTGACAAGCCATGAAAGTAGTATATAGACATTAACACAGCTTATGTCATCAGAGCTTTCGTAATTAAATATCAAACATACAAAACATGCATTTCTCCTGAACATTATATTTTTTTAATTTTTAGGTTTCACTTGAAAATATACATATGTCAAAAAACCATGAAGAGTCATTAATCGTCGCTTTAACTACTAAAACGTTTATCATCTGGGTCCAGTTGTTCAAAAGGTGGCTAGCTTAATAACTGTTTAACGACATATTTCAAACTTTAATAATTTTGTCAATAAACAAGGTAAAATCGCAAAATTTTGCATGTAAATTCACTCTATTTAAAATTTTATATCTGGAAAGTTTTGACTAATTCAATGGCTGTGTTTTAAAGATACACAAAAATGAAAATTTGCGCTAATCACTGATTAAGCTAATCACTTTTGAACAACTAGGCCTGGTTAACATATGACATGTAATAACATATGTATGTTACTTATTGAGATAAAATATGATACTGTTTTACTTTACACGTTTGTAAGTCAAACTTTAAATTACTGTTTCAACTAGAAAGCTGAATAATGCGGTTATGTGTCGTTATTGTGAAGTCTAAAACCTAAAAAAGGGACTTTTACACACTTATACATCATAATGCTTTGCAGCGCATCGACAACTAAATGCAATGCTTCATGGCATACGGTCTTAATGCTATACACATACCTAACTCTAACACACATGTCATACCGTCTAGTACTTACCGGTATACACATCCCTAACTCTAACACACATGTCATATAATCTAGTACTTACTGGTATACACATACATACCCCTAACCCACATGTCATACAGTCTAGTACTTACTGGTATACACATACATACCCCTAACCCACATGTCATACAGTCTAGTACTTACCGGTATACACATATCTAACTCTAACACACATGTCATACTGTCTAATACTCACTGGTATACACATACATAACTCTAACACACATGACATACTGTCTAGTACTTACCGGTATACACATTCCTAACTCTAACACACATGCCATACAATCTAGTACTTACCGGTATACACATTCCTAACTCTAACACACATGCCATACAGTCTACTACTTAATAGTATACACATACCTAACTCTAACAAACATGTCATACAATCTAGTACTTACCGGTATACACATCCCTAACTCTAACACACATGTCATAATGTCTAGTACTTACTGGTATACACATACATAACTCTAACACACATGTCATACAGTCTAGTACTAACCGGTATACACATATCTAACTCTTACACACATGTCATACTGTCTAATACTTACTGGTATACACATACATAACTCTAACCCACATGTCATAGCGTCTAGTACTTACCGGTATACACATACCTAACTCTAACACACATGTCATACGGTCTAGTACTTAATGGTATACACATACCTAACTCTACCACACATGTCATACAGTCTAGTACTTACTGGTACACACATACCTAACTCTAACACACATGCCATACAGTATAGTACTTCTCGGTTTATAATTCAAATACACGATCATATGTTGGAGTGTTTAGGTCTTTAAGAAATCACTGAAAGTTTAGGGCAGAAAAGTGTATCTAAGAGTAAGTGTAAAATGTTAGGTTAGAGAAGTAACTTAGTGGGTGTGATTATGGTAAGGTTTATTTGTTACTAATGGGATGCGTTTTACTTACAGTAAGAAATGAAAATTGTTATGTGTGCAGGTATGGTAGCCTGCTTCTTAGGATTAGGGGTTCATCTTATGTTCGTTACTTAGAGTAAAAGGTTTATCTTAGAGTAACTAGTGTAGCTTACGGTTTATGAATTAGAGTTAGGAATGCATTTAGGGTTTGTTTACATATTTGGATATGAGGGTGGGGGGGGGGGGGTGTAATTTGTGGAGGGGTGATTGCACAATCATAATATATAGAGTCTGCCAAACATGAATTATACTGCATCGTACAAACGTTTCGTCCTTCTAGGATTCATCGGTGATGCATGGGGCGAAAACAGATGAAAATCCAATTATCTAAACTACAGTTTAAAAAGAGGGCTGTTGCATACAACCCCTTAATTTATTAATGTAAAAAGTTCGAGGATTACTGTTTAACATCAACAAAAGAAATAATTTGCAAAGTGTGTTTATTATGGGTATAACGTAGAGGTAGGGTTGTAAGGGTAAGACAAGAGCATAACCAGGGACAAAAAGTGAGATTTTGGGTGAAGGGTATAAAGAAGGGTAGGACGTGTAACTTAAGTACATGTATGAAATAAAAGGATTTTGCTCTTAGTTAAGCGTTTTTAAAACAAATTCATGTTTCATTCTATTTAAATACAGAACGTCTTCTGATAACATGGTTGCATATTGATTATTCCTTGATCAAGTCTTTCGTTTCCCATTCATAATGTGTACTACACCAGGTCCAGGAGGCCAGGTATTATGTGCGTGTACGTAATATAAATGTGTATACTGGTGAGGGTGATGACTACAGAATGTGTATGTAGCAACATCAACCCAGATTTATCGATCACAATGAGTAAAACTAGAAATAAAATAGAACTCAGATTTCCCACCGAAACGAAAGTAGGTTATTCCAACTTTCGTTTTGTTCAATAACTACACATTTGTGGTAGTTTCTATACCTTTTAACTACACTTTATACATTCTTTGGTTTGGGAGCAGTTCGTTATCTTTGAACAATATTGTTGTCGTAGCACCGAGGAGTTTCATGATTTGTTAATCTATCAGATCACATTCAACAAACGATATTACCTATTTATCTAGCCGGATTAATTAGGTTGACTATGGGGTGTTGTTCATCTCGAAAGAGAACGAAACGGAAACTTAAGGTAGGTTCTTGGGTACTATATCGTACTTGCATAAATAAATATAAATGTATATATCTTGTCTCATATGTCTATTATAGCTTGTAGTTCATACTGTAGGCGTTTCTGGTAGACGTGTGGTTTGACTGTTATTTATGTTTTACTTCATTCTCAGTTGTATTATAGTAACACACATGTACATGTAAAAAGTAAGGGATTACCATATAACTGGGAATTTTATGTCACTGAAGATTTACTGGCCCAACCAAGATTCTTTACTCTAATTGATAAACAGATAACTAATCATACATGAAGAGCATCGTAATGAAATGTTATGGTATAGTTATAAAACCATGAGCCCCTCTTGCCCAAGTGGTGCATTAACACTACTATCAAGAAAGAATATACATCCTCGCTAAACTAATACCTTAACCTGGACGTGTGCGTAATGTTTAAGACAAATCCCTACCTGCAACCAATAGCATTCACTTGCTCTTACTTTGTAATAAAAAGGTTATCTCATTTGCATTATCATTCTGGTTTAAATATCACTCTGACATAATGTTATCCATATTTCCTATATTTTTGTGTACTCAATTAAATGTGCAAGGCAATGTGACTGTTTTGTATTCTTTTCAAAATGCTATCCAATGTTCTTTAGTATTACAGGAAGTACTCGTGAAGTTTACCTAACTCTAACACACATGTCATACGGACTTACTGATATACACATATATACCTAACTCTAATACACAGGTCATTCGGTCTTACCCGTATACACATACCTAACTCTAACAGACATGTCATACGGTCTAGTACTTACCGGTATACACATACCTAACTCTAACACACATGTCATACGGTCTAGTACTTACTGGTATTCACATACCTAACTCTAACACACATGTTATAATGTCTAGTACTTACCTGTATACACATACCTGACTCTAACACACATGTCATACAGTCTAGTACTTAATGGTATACACATACCTAACTCTAACACACATGTCATACGGTCTAGTACTTACCGGTATACACATACATAACTCAAACATACATGTCATACAGTCTAGTACTTACCGGTATACACGTACGTGACTCTAACACACATGTCACACGGTCTAGTACTTAATGGTAGACACATACCTAACTCTCACACACATGTCATACTGTCTGGTACTTACCTGTATACACATCCCTGACTCTAACACAAATGTCATACAGTCTAGACATGTCATACGGTCTTACCCGTATACACATACCTAACTCTAACACACATGCCATACGGTCTAGTACTTACTGGAATACACATACCTAACTCTAACACACATGGCATAGCGTCTAGTGCTTACTGGTATACACATACATTACTCTAACACACATGTCATACCGTCTAGTACTTACCGGTATACACATCCCTAACTCTAACACACATGTCATACTGTCTAGTACTTACTTGTATACACATACATAACTCTAACACACATGTCATAATGCCTAGTACTTACCGGTATGCATATGCCTAACTCTAACACGCATACCATAATGTCTAGTACTTACCGGTATACACATACCTAACTCTAACACACATGCCATACAGTCTAGTACTTCTCGGTTTATAATACAAATACACGATCATATGTTGGAGTGTTCAGGTCTTTTAAAAAATCACCGAAAGTGTAGGGCAGAAAAGGGTATCTAAGAGTAAGTGTAAAATGTTAGGTTAGAGAAGTAACTTAGTGGGTGTGATTATGGTAAGGTGTGTAACTAATGGGTGTGATTATGGTAAGGTTTGTAACTTAGTGGGTGTGATTATGGTAAGGTTTGTAACTTAGTGGGTGTGATTGTGGTAAGGTGTGTAACTAATGGGTGTGATTATGGTAAGGTTTGTAACTTAGTGGGTGTGATTATGGTAAGGTTTGTAACTAATGGGTGTGATTATGGTAAGGTGTGTAACTTAGTGGGTGTGATTATGGTAAGGTTTGTAACTAAGTGGGTGTGATTATAGTAGGTTTGTTACAAATGGGATGCGTTTTACTTACAGTAAGAAAAGAAAATTGTTATGTTTGCAGGTATGGTAGCCTGCATCTTAGGATTAGGGGTTCATCTTATGTTTGTAACTTAGAGTAAAAGGTTTATCTTAGAGTAACTAGTGTAACTTACGGTTTATAAATTAGAGTTAGGAATGCATTTAGGGTTTGTTTGCATATTTGGATATGGGAGGGGGTGGTATTTTGTGGAGAGGTAATTGCACACATGAATTATACTGCATCGTACAAATGTTTCGTCATTCTATGATTCATCGGTGATGCTTGCAGCCAAAAAGATGGAAATCCAAATTATCTAAACTACAGTTTAAACAGGAATTGTTACATACAACCCCCTAATTTATTAATGTGAAAAATTTGAGGATTTCTAGTAAACTTTAAAATAAATAATTTATAATGAACCGTACCATTACTCAAAAGTAGTGGCCGTAAAGGTAATTCCATCAGCAGAGTTCACCACCTTGAGACAATGGGTATCACGTAGAGTTAGTGTGGTAACTTAGGACAAGAGCATAACCAAGGATAAGAAGTGAGATTTTGGATGAAGGGTAATAGAGAAGGGTAAGATGGGTAGTAAAGTACATGTATGAAATAAAAGGATATTGCTCTTGATTAAGCGTTTTTAAAACAAATTCATGTTTCATTCTATTTAAATACAAAACGTCTTCTGATAACACGGTTGCATATTGATTATTCCTTGATCAAGTCTTTCGTTCATAAAAACACATTCCTATTTATAATGGGCACTACACCAGGTACAGGAGGCCAGGTATTGTGTTTCTGTACGTACTATAAATGTGTATACTCTACAGTGTGTGCGTGTGTGTTAGTGTGTGTGGAGGTGTGTGTGTGTGTGTGTGGCAACATCAACCTAGATGTATCGACCATAATGCTTTAAACCAAAAACGAAAGTAGAATTGAGAATTCCCGACAATAAAACGGAAGTAGGTTCTGCCAACTTTCGTTTTGTACATTAACTGTATATCATCAAACTGAAAGCTGATTGGAATGATTTGTTAATTCATCAGGTCACATTTCACAATCAATATAAGTGTGTATCTACATGGATTAACTAGGTCGAGTATGGGGTGTTGTATATCACAAAGTGGACTTGAGGTAGGTTCTTAGATATTATCGTACCGTTATAAATAATATAAACTATGTTTATATCTTATCTTATACGGGTATTATAGCTTCGGCTCACCATCTTTTCTGATGGACTAGTGGTTTGACTATTATTTACTTCAGTCTCAGTTTGTTTGTATTTACATACATGTACATATAATATGTTAGGGATTACAACATAAGTGGGAACTTTATGTTAATTTTATTTGGACGTAGGAGTGCAATTTAGAAAAAATAACTTTTTTATTTACGTTAAGATTCTAGCTTAAATATCACTTTATATGTATAACATGCTCACTACATTTATAGCTTTTTGTACTTAATATAATGTGCCAGACAACAGGCCGTGGGACACAATGATTCTTCTATGAATCTTGTAAAAGTTTGTACATTGTATTCCTCTATTAAATATATAGCTTTATATCATTACCATAATTGTCAAATGCTATTCCATGTATTTTTGATATTGTAGGACGCACTCGAGGAGATTTGGAGGCGTGCACAATCCTACCAAGAGGCACTTAAAATTATTGAAGATGTTTTAAAAGAAAAAAATATGTTTCCGGATTCCATGATATTTGACGAACAGCTTCCAAACTCAAGGACGATAACGTGTCAACCAAAGTCAGCTAAATATATTGATGTCGAAAGTCATAGTGTTGAGGATAGACTACTTGTAAAACCAGACCATGCCAGCAATGCAGATGCGCTTAAATACTACAAGACGGAATTGTTACGTTTACACTCTGTCGTACAAAACCATGAGAAACAGAACAAAACGCAAGAAAATGAGATAGAACGTCTGGAATCAGTATTTAGATCACGAGATGAAGACCTTTGCCGAGCACAAAGAATGGCCCGTCATCTTGAAAAAGATAATGATGAAAAGACCAATCGCATATTGGAACTAGAAGCTCAACAAAGAAACCTTACTGACGTTTCGCAAAGGGAGGAGAAGAAAGAACAGCAGAGAACTTCACAACAAACAACAAAATTTCTTAGACAGGAAACACATGTTGCTGAAAAGAACGGGTTCGAATCCTCGAACAAATCAAACGAAAAACGTAAGTCTTCAAACTTAGTTATGTCATTGATGACTTGTATATAAGTCCAGTATATTTAAATAGCTTTATATCGGTCATTTTATGTTAAATATATTGATATATATTGACAGATTCACCCAAGAGTCTGATTTCTACTAAAAAAATATTCAACATTTGTGAATGGGTATGTCAAAATAAACTTCACACAGCTTGCTACATGTAAAATGTAAAGAAAAGGTCAAAAGTTTGTAAATTACTAGTAAAGTTTGGAAAGTTGAAAATGTAATCGACGTGTCTCTCTGCTTTTATTAGATACCAATGGTGAGCGACAACAGTCGACACGACACTACGAGAATCGGACAGGTGCTCAGGCAGCACTAAAAGCAGAGAAACAATCAGATTACGGAACAATGAAAAGAGAGTTTGAAGTCCAACATGAGAACCAGAGTAGCCTTGATAAACTTAACAAGGAGATAGTAGCACTTCAAGAGGATACACAAGTGGTTGGTGAGAAATTGATCAAAGAAAGGCTAATTAGAAAGAAGAAGGAAAATGACTGTGAGAAACTAGAAAAACAACTTTCAGACAATCAGCGCGACCACGATCAACTGAAAATAGAGATAAAGCATTACGAGGAAAAACAACGGGATTACGAAAAGCTAAAAATGGATTTGGCAGCACTTAAAGGGGAGAAGCAACGGGATCATGAAACACTGAGAGGGAAGTTGGCTGAACCGCATAGGACCATACAACATGGTGAAAAGGAACTAACAAAACAGCTTACAGAACTTCAACAGGAGAAACGACGGGACCACGATAGATTAACAGAAGAGCTGACAGAACTTCAACAAGAGAAACAGCGGGACCACGAGAGATTAACAGAAAAGCTGACAGAACTGCAACAGGAGAATCAGCGGGACCACGAGAAACTAATAGGAGAGCTGACAGAACTTCAACAGGAGAAACAACGGGACCACGAGAAACTATCTGAGGAGCTTACAGCATCAAAAGAGGAGAAACAAGACGTTCAAATGAAGCTTAATGACAAAATAAGAAAATTAGAGAAAGAACTTGTAGACACATCTTCGAAAGTGAAACAGCTCCAGGCTCATCAAGGACAACTACAATCTGCACTAGGTAATAGAAAAATGAGAGAATTACTACATGTATATAGTCCAACATATATGGTATCCAAAAAAGAAGTGTTATAGTAATCTATCTGTAATCTGTCACCAAGTAATTAATGGACGTTCACTCTAGATAAATCCATATGATCCCAACACAAATTATTGCACATGTAGATCATTAATCGGAAAAATCAGGTCTGCTAACAATCAATTCGGTTTGTTTCACTTCAAGATAGACGAGATGATCAAATCGTGTCTATGGAGAAAGACATGAATTCGAAGACAACAGAGTTACAAAGAAAGGAAGCAGGACAGAAATCCCGATACAGTGAACTTAATCAAGAGATCAGGAAACTGGAGGATGAAAACGAGACGCTGTCTGCCAGCATTGAAACACTTCAGCTGGAGATCACAGATTTAAAATCTGAACTTGGTAAGGGTTTGAGCTAACGTGTCCTTCAGTTTCTCCAGAATTTTTGGTAATGACAACTGAATAAAATACCCATCATGTTTTAGTCGGAGATAATGAGTCGTGTCTATTGCTCAATTGTTTCTGTTTCATTCAGCTCAAAATGTGATTGATGTCCAACAACTGTAAAAGATTTGCATTGATTAGGTTGCATTGCAACCGTCAGCTTTAGGGAATTTCCCTTTAGCTCAGCGGTAGAGCATCGGGCTGGAGAACCAAGGGTCGCGGGTTCGAGTCCCAGCGACGGCACTATCTTTATCACTATTTCACGTCCAACATAAAAATCTATACAATGTAAATCATATATGAATATTTTAGTAATATCTACTGTAAAGCAAACTATAAAACTAGTACCAGAAACATTAAGTCTGTTTGTGACAGAATTACATTTTTTTCTTTTAGAGTGTTAAACGGAGTTTTAAACACGCTCTATCTTACAGGTGAAAAGGAAAAAGAGGTCCAAGATTGTTGTAAGAAAAACAATACCTTGTCAAATAACTTTGACCACCTTCACAGTAAACATAAGAGCATGCAGGAGGAACTGGGTGGCCAAATAGAAAAACTCAAAGAAGACAACAAGAAAAATAGCTCTTCAATCCAGGAGTTACAAGAGGACAAGGACCGCTTGGTGGATCAGCTTGGTAAGATACTAATGATTTACTTATGACACGTTCGTGATGCTTGTCTGTACCACCTAGTATTTGTATCCTATTCTTTAACTGACAAAACTTGATTCCTGCAATCGTTCCTCAATTTATTTCAACTGTGAATTATTTCTTGATTTTTTTTAATTGATATTGAATGGGGGTTTTTTTATTGAAGAGCTACAAGCAAACTTAGTCCAAGCCCCGGTATCATAAAAGACTAACATTAGACTAGCATTAATACACAATAATATAATACATTCCATAATGTTTTGGTCGCCAAGTTTTTAGATTATATCTAGAAATTTATCTGATTTTAATATCATCTTATTAAATGTCAATTCATCCCGGACAAAATTTAGAAACGTCACATCAAACATAAAACTATCACTTCACTCAAAACAGAGTAGCATTTGACTGCTACAAAGCAAGTGTTATGTTACGTACGCAATGTTACGTATACATTATAGTGCAGTATGTGACTTGTACATTGCAGTGTAGTTTGTGATGCATTAAATACATTGCAATGTGGTATGTGACGTGTATATTTATGTTTGGTATATAACGTATTTTCTACAGTATAGTGCGGCAGGTAGACATGAGAGTGGGGAATAGGAAATTTGTGCTGTTGAATTCTGTATGTTAATATTAAAATAGATAGGTATTATCAATTACATATATACTTCTAATGGGTCACAGAATAACAATATGAAATATGTTAATAAATATATTTGACAACTTTGGTTCGTGTACTAAGACTACCACTCAATGAATCTTTTGTGTATCAACCATATTCACCAGGTGTCACTAAAGACGATTTTAAGACTCTGAACGTAAACAAAGACAAACTGACAGACACTAGAAACAGAACAACAGGACCATTGCTGGAAAAGCAACTCAGTTAGCAGTCTTTTACGGTTTATATTTGTCTAGGAAAGAAAAAACGAACAAGGAGATTATCTAAAGATTTAATTCATAACGGGAAATTAAAAAAATAAACTCGATTAAACACGTTTAACCTTTTAACAGGTGTCAGTGAAATTGAGCTGAAGACTCTACGGTTAAACCAAGAGAATCTGACACAGGAACTGGAAACAGAACAACGGAATCATCACACCACTCGTACGGACCTCGGGGAACAGATAGTGTCACTAAGGGGAGATAACACTGGGCTGTCGTCTACAGTCGAAAAGTTACAACGGAATGTTGCTTTGTTGGAAAGACAACTCGGTGAGTTGGTTTACGATTTTATTTGTAGGAAAAAGGATACGAAAATGGGTAATGAAAGTTTACGTCTTTTTAGAGAAAATGAATAAAATCGGATTTGATGTGATACGTTTACTCTGTTTAACAGGCGTCAAGGAAGAAGAATTAAAAACTCTGCGGTTAAAAAAGGACCAATTGAGGAGTGAACTGGAAACAGAACAACAGAAACATCACACCACCCGTGCGGACCTTGGGTGTCAGATAGTGTCACTAAGGGGAGATAACACCGCGCTGTCGTCTACAGTCGACGAGTTAAAACTGAAAGCTGCTGCAGTGGAAAGACAACATAGTGAGTAAATTTGACATTATGTCAATGCTACAAATATATAATCTCTTTCTCATACTTACACTGGCATTTTCGTCTAAATTAAGTTCATGATTAATAAAAACGAAATGAGTATGAATTATTTAACGTTGATTTATATACAGATTCAGTTCAGGAAGCTTTTCGTACGGCCAGTATGGAAAAAGGGCAACTTGAGAAGGAAATTACCTCTCTGAGGGATGAAAAGCAGGAACTCCTTAGGGACATGTTAGCCGGACTGGAAGATCTCAGAGTGGCAAATACTGAGCTGGCATCGAACATTGATGTGCTGCAACAAGAAAAGCAAACATTACAAAAGAAATTCGGTAAGATTTATCATATATTCGATTGATACAGAATTGCATGCAATAAAGACACTATAAGATCACGTGTATGGAAAGGCCTCGGATATTCTTCTGTTCCACTTTGGGGGAAAAAATAAAACGCATTAACACTTTTCTTTAACAGATGCAAAGGACGATGAACTTCAAACCATTCTACGTGAGCTAAGAGAGGCAGCAGAGCGAGCAAAGAGGAAATCCGTCGGTATGGAAATCAAAAGGAAACTGTATTTGTTATTAGCCAAATACAGCTATATCTGTTATAATGCAAAGTCTATAAATAGCATTCACTTTTCATAACAATCGAATGCATTGCTTGCTAACAGGATCGACACAAATATGTGTATAACGTTTATGGATGGGAGATGAAATAGCTCTGATAAATTAGAAATCTCCTCAAGTCCGAGATTACGTATTGCTGAGGAAAACAAAGTTCAGTGACATTTTCCGTCCGAACTCATTGACAAAAAATGACGAAGTAAGTGAAAGTCTACCATTAGCAAAGGCCTCCGATTCCCCCACACCGGTCATCTGTACTATCTTAAATAAAAGTAAAATCATAAGTTGTCTTACGCTCCTTTACTTTACATTGTACTTGAATACATTCCGTCCATGTCCTAGATTGCCCTGTGTGGTTTGTTACAGTGCTGAGTATACGTAGTGAGAAAAGCGGGATGGGAAAGACAATGGTGGATATGGTTACCAAGGAAATAACAAAACGCCTGGACAGCAAAGTGGACAAGAGTTGTATGGACCTGACAATACAGCCACACAATGCGTCAGCAGGTGCCATAGGTGGGCCCCTAGTGGTCCTTTGTCTCAACATGTCCAGGATTGGCACCAATATCCAAGATACATTGAAGGGGATTAAAGGTAAATCCCAACTTAATCCCTAAGAAACTAATGCACTGAGGTAGTATATTCCACTGACGTCTTCCAATAGTGTATTTTTTTTCTCACAACCACAGTCTGGAATATGTTTACTTTGTCTAACTTTGTGTTATAGTAGTATCCAGGCAATACGGGCTTATATTAACTCTCTAAATATTCCAAAACTAACACAATAAATGATAAACGAATTGTTTTATTCCTTCTGTATGTATATTTCAGTTGACAAAGACATGATTGTCTTGGTGCTTCATCATACCAGCAAGGAGAACCTCTCGTCTCTAACTCCCACAAGTCTCCGCGTTACCGGAAGTGAGTTACGGCAGTTGGGCGGGATCATTGATATGGCTTTCGACAGTAACAATGGGTTGTATGCGTGTGATCTCAACACCACTGCAATTGAAAAGTTGGCAATTATTCTGAAAAAATATTGATGCACGGAGTATGTATAGAATTGTAGATGATCTGAAGTATTACGTGATACGCGGTACGTCTGCCCAGATACGTATATTACAGAGATTCTGTAATATACGTCTCTGGTCTGCCGGGGCTGCAATAACTTTCCCATGGCCAATTGTGAAAAACTCTACTTGGCTGTATTTCGTATTTGCTTGTGTATTTCGTATCAAAGTGTTCTTCGATTCTATTGTTAACGGCATTGATAGGCACTCACAAACACGTTGGTTATCGGTACGGTCGCATGTGTCCTGGAATGTACATATACCTCTGTGGAGTTGTTATCTACGTCGCTACCTGTCGTAACATAGGACAATTAAGATATGGAGATGCTAAGCTGAGATAATAATGTATTAAATGGTGTTACATATGTTTGTCGCAATAAAAGCTCACAAGAGCTAATGTTCCTTGTTTACCTTTATGCGACGCTAAATACAGTTTCTTGTATCTTGTTGTACATACCCACTATAATTGTTGTCGTGTTGGTTTTCTTAACCCTTTAAATTACCAGAAATTATAGTTTGTCCTGTATGTGTGCGGAAGTGTGAGGGTGATTGTGGGTTGGTCGGTCTATATACGAAATTGTTTTGAAAAAATGTATATGTCCACCTGTCTGTTGTGTAGTGATAACCTCGTTTGGAGAGGTGGAATTAAGGCATCCCTATCTGTATATGTGCTTGTTAATAGTTGTATAGAAAGTAATAAGATGTAAACAACTAAATTCCATAGCTAACTAACACCACGGACTTATATTCCGTGCTAACACTATAAACTTCACTTGTAGATGTGTACGATCTGGCACGTATTGAAGGTGAATTACTGCATGTACATGTCGATTGTATATGCTTTATCTGTATTTGCCATTATATGGAAACACTTCATGAGTTTGCTGTTAAGGCCAGGAAAAGGGAATGTAGTAGACATTTCAATGCTAATAGCACGGAATTACTTTATCTAAGTCCGCGCTAATAGTAAGTATGTGTGTCTGTAGTATAGATTTATGTGTGAGAGACAGCGAGACAATTAAGTGTGTTTGGTCACGGAATTAGTTTGCTATCTAAGTCCGTGGTTTGGTAGATTCTTTAAGTTATATCTTAAGTTTAAACAGAACAAGCAACATAGCACCCGTTATGCTATGTATTTGATTTTTAATATACATATAAATAATAATGTATAGTATCTATTGATAAAGTACATACATGTACGTAGTACACAAGTCAGTTGAACTAAAAGCTGATTCTAATAAAATCACTTCTACACCAAGAAGTATTAATCGGAGATAAATATTGTATTCGCGGGGCATTTTTATCAGTTTGAAATAAAGCTTTTGGTACGCTTACAGAATGGTTTTGTTACTTGTCAACACATGTTGCAGCTATTTTCCTTTTTTTACTGACTAATGCAGCACATTTCCTGAACATGTGGATGAGTATATAATCCCTGAAATGTTGAGGGCGTCCACACTTGGTTAGAAGTCATCGTCAGATTTAACAAGGGCGTAACACTTTCTCCAGAGGTATCCGGTGTCTTACGCTCAACGTAAACAACATGTGGTCGGGAAATTGTACTTCATAAAAAAGTTATAGTGTATTATTTCGTCAGAATTGCTTTATTTATCCTCACATAAAGGTCACAAAAATCATCACCCATTGATTGAAATTTGATTCAGTCGCGAGTTATGATCATTGAGTAGTGTATCAACTGTGTATGTACACTTTGTGTTGCATTGCATTATGCCACTAATTTCTACTCACAACTCTCTACCCCCATCCCCCCACCCCCATCCCCCATCCCATCCCTCTCTCTCTCATCACTTTTTCTCCAAACTCGCACATCCCTATCTAACCCTCGTCTATTGTCTCTCTCCCTCTCGTTCTAACCTTACCTTACCTTATCTATTTGTCTGTTGTCTCTCCCCCTCTCGTTCTTACCTTACCTTACCTTCACCTATTTGTCTGTTGTCTCTCTCACCTTACCTTACCTTACCTTACCTATTTGTCTGTTGTCTCTCTCCCTCTCGTTCTGACCTTACCTTACCTTCACCTATTTGTCTTTTGTCTCTCTCCCTCTCGTTCTTACCTTCCCTTACCTTACCTTTCCTTCACCTATTTGTCTGTCGTCTCTCTCCCTCTCGTTCTTTCCTTGACTTACCTTACCTTACCTATTTGTCTGTTGTCTCCCTCCCTCTCGTTCTTACCTTACCTTCACCTATTTGTCTGTTGTCTCTCTCCCTCTCGTTCTTACCTTACCTTACCTTCACCTATTTGTCTGTTGTCTCTCTTCCTCTCGTTCTTACCTTACCTTNATATATAATTCTTTTGACAATGTCCCTATTTGACTATTTTGGATAAAATATCAACCATTTTCTAGGATAAAGGGTCAATCGTAGCCCCCTCCCCCCGTCCCTTTAAATAATAGTTATTAATTTTCGAGACTGCAACGAAGACATATTTTGACAACGCTGGTCTGGTTTTTTGGTTGTTACCTTTTCAGGCGCTAACTACTAGCCAAATGCCACCTGGCTAATATCTCCCCNGTGTCTGTTGTCTCTCTTCCTCTCGTTCTTACCTTACCTTACCTTCACCTATTTGTCTGTCGTCTCTCTCCCTCTCGTTCTTACCTTGACTTACCTTACCTTACCTATTTCACACATACAGTTATTGGAATGTTTTTTATCTGAATATTCTTTAATATCACAAAGTAGAATTGCCAACATTTTGCCGATTTATAACCAGTAATTTTGAATTCAATGCAAATATAAAAAAACACGAAATAAACACACACGCAGTACGTAATATTAACGTATTCTTAATCAAATCCTCGACAAACTGTTGTCATGATATACTATAATTGGCGCCATAAGCGCCATAAAACTAACTATTTTTGCTTATAAAAACGCATATGAAATAATTTTGCATGCCCCAATTTTTGTTTGTGCATTTATAAATGAACATACGAGATAACTTAATGACGCCGTCAGTGCGGACACAATGAGTCCGATTAAGACATAAGAGGCAGCCCAAAGAAAGTCGTCAAAAAAGGCCAAGTTGTGCACTGTAACAGAAACGTGTATAATACGTCTCTGAGTAATCACGGACTAAGGTAATTTAAACTAATTCCGTGTTGTAATTAAGGAGTCAACATCATATACATATGCGCATTCCCAAAACTATCAAAGTTATTTTCAATAAATATGCAATATCATGGTTGCGAGTATATGATTAAATATCTAATTGCAATTTACACATACAATATATGTAACGTTACAACCTTATTAACACTTAATTGGTAACAGGGTTTAGAAATACGTGCATGTAGTTTAATTTGTGGTATAGATTTCATTATGTTAGATAAATACCACCTAACAATCATCCAGCAATCGAGTTTAAATTTAGTAGTTGGTGGGGGGGTGGGGGAGGGGGCGGGTAATCTTAAGTTTTTTCTTGACATTTTTTTTAACATTCTCATATTATTACATCAAATTAGATACAAATTCAGAAAAATAATCATTTTCTATATAAGTTTGAAACAAGATACATAGAATAGTCCAATAGTATATGTAGAACTTTGAGAAACAAACAATTAAAAAAAGAAAAAGGAAAAAAACAAAGTTTGACTATTTTTACATGCTGAAACCAGCTAATAAGATATCAAGTGTTATGTACTAATGTATTGGTTAAGAAAAAATTAGGAAAGAAAAGAGTAGTAAAGAGAAAGAGGGACAAGAAAGAAAAAGAAGATTGGAGAGGTGTCGAAGGATTTGACAAGGGCTTATTGTTCAATTTTGTGTCAATTTTTTAACATAGACTATTAACAGAAATTATGTACATTGGTACTATATTATTATAATTAATTTTCATTTCAGTTATATGGCCTGCAGTAATCTTTCCCATTTTTGCCATTCCCTTTTAGAATAAGCGAGATATTTTTCACCATTACCTACAGTGCTCAATGTATTTTGAGTATCGTAAATATCTTTGATTAGGTTTTTCAAAGCTAAAACTGATAGACCAGTTTGCAGACATCTAGCCTTATAAATATATAGTTTAGTGATAAGTATACTAAATTATCAACATTGTTTTTTCTATCATAGTTGACTATCAGCTGTAGCACGGAACTAGATTGTTATCTAAGTCCGTGGCTGTAGATAGTTCGAGTAGATCTATTATTAGAAATGTACTCAGCTACACGAGTTGCTTCCCTTCAATGCTTAGTCATCGATACCGTTTCTATCGTTGAAAACAAATATAGATTTTGACAGAATACCTACTTGATACGCTATAAGATTAATTTCTGATATATTCAACTTCTTTTCGATGCCACATGAGATTATGTCATAAAGATACTTCTTTACTGTACTTAAAACCATGATGTTAATATACCATTTTTCTATAGTTACAAGCGACATTACAGAAACAAGCTAGTTAAGAACTCCTGAAATCCACGATGGAAGTTAACGGTTTTCATAGCGATACTTATATAGACAAGAAGACAGTTGTCACTGATCGTCTGCAGAAACGAGAAATAGAACGACAGGAGGATATCCAGAGACGTAAGGATGAAAAGGATAACTCCACTAACGCCAAGGAAAGCACCCAGTACTTCTCCGATAATTTCAATATTCAGAGAGAATCTGTGGAGAGAGCCTTAGCAACATGTAACGGGAATTGTTCCGACAAGATCATATTGCGGGAGCGGTTTGATTTCGTTGCTCAATCCTACCAGAAGCTGCAGAAGTTCGTTGCCGACTCTGTCATGTTTCTACCTTCCTACGATTTAAGGCAGGCACAGGAAGCACTGGGCAAGATGCAGGGTCAAATCCAAGAAAAAAGGGATCAGTTACTCCCGAAGAAGAAGTTCGCGTTCAGTTCAAGGAAGAAAGTTGACAAGGACCCCCAGGTTATGACTAATGGTGCTCATAAAATGATAGAAAAGTCTGACAATCTAGGCATTGAACTTGCCGGGTGTAAGGTTGTCGGACTCCAAGGGGTAACTCTAGTTAAAGATAGCGGCGACATTACTTGTAAAGATGTAGCTGTGACCAACCTCAATGATTGTACACTGAAGCTTTTTGGAGCACCATCTACAGTGCATATGAAAAATCTGAAGAATTGCACGGTTTTATGTGGACCAGTTTCAAGTTCAGTTTTCATCAGTGACTGTGAGGACTGTGTTTTCGTTCTATCTTGTCAACAGCTAAGAACCCACACTACAAAGGATTCCAGTGTGTACCTTCATGTTACCAGCAGGGCCATCATAGAAGACTGTAAAAACTTGGACTTCGCACCATACAGTCTCAGTTACCCAGGTCAAAATGAACATTTTGACAAATCTGGACTAGACATAAACCGAAACAACTGGAATGATGTTGATGACTTTAACTGGCTGGCCAGCGATGTTCGCTCGCCTAACTGGGCCATCATGGAAGAGGAAAAGAGGAAGAAATTCCTGGAGGAATAAGACATCAGCAACAAAGTAAACACCTACATGCTGGTGTATGGAAAAACTGTGCTGTTTAGCATCAGTATTGACTTGAGGTATATCCAGAATACATATGTTTTAACATTTTGAATATATTTCGTAATGCAGACATTTAAACATTTTGTGTTTAAATTGATCAAAACACATTAAAAGATGTGTGTGGGATTTTTTTCTTGAGTGCTTGAAGAGGTTTCATCACTGCTGACCATAAGATATCTTGTAGGTATATGAAATAAGACAAGATGAAAAATGTTAAAGAGTAAAGACTTTAGGCAACATTTTCTATCGATTATTTAGATATGATATACAGATCAACATTGTGAATCTCTGTAATATTTTGTGTTTTACTCAAGTCAAACATCAACTTTGAGCACTGTTCGGTCCTAAAGATAAAATGGATTATAATAACAAATAAAAATGTTTTAATTATCTTCTTCTGTTCAATAAGACATGGGGTCATGTTTGCCAGGGGTACTTTTCCTTTGAGGGGTACGTGCTATAATGTTCCTGTAATAAACGCTCTTGATCATAGATCATAGACCCCCATCATATATATATATATATGGAAACCAAAAATCATCAACAAGGCAAAATAAGTTAGCAGTTATCAACTATATTTGTCTCGTTGATGATTTTGTAGTCTGCATATATCTAAAGATGCACAAAGTTCTCATTAGATTTAACTTTATACAAATATATTGTATGTATATGTGTGTTGTCTGTATTGTGCATTAAGAAAAAACGCAAGCATGCTACAAGGATTTTCCTTGGAATCTTGCCCCCACCCCTGAGAGCTTTGAAGTACTACTTTTAATGGAAAAGGTTTACCATAAGTGCTTGAGTGATACAGGCCATCTAGGCCTCTTGTCTATCTTATTGTTTAAATTTGTTAATTGAATAGCTATGTAATCTTGATCATTGAAACATGAAAATGATATTTGAGAGGAAACGTAATTAACTTCCAAAACATTCGCATAAGTTCTCTATTTCCCAATGTATGTAAGTGTAAAATATATATAGCCCTATTCGAGTGATTCATAGCCAGTCACACTTGGGTGACCACCTCACCTTTATGTATACTGGCCTATGAATGGAGGATAATTTGCTTTCCAGGTACATAATTTTCAAGAACTGGATATAGGTAGTGGATGTCAGACAAGTGATGAAGGATTTATTATTTATATTTACAATCAGGATTTTTTTTTACACTGTTAAGTAAGATGATATGAAAATGAGAATCACCAAGTTTGACAGTTAAAACTTAAAGGTTAAAATATGGTGCGATCTGACATATCTGGTTGTTATCAATTTACCTCTCCAAATTCATCAGCAGGAATGTATGATATGGAGGAGGTTGCTTTGTCTTATGGATAACTAGTTGTTTCTATTATGTTTATATTCATTGCATACTTTAAATTATGAAAAAAAAAAACATACATTTTTGCTAAGAACAAATGTAGAAACCATTGCAAATTTACTTTTGTATCAGATTGAAGTGTATCATTGTCAATGAAGCGAACAGATATGATGCACAGTTTAAAAGATAAGCTCAAACATGTATCTTGAGGAGGTATGTACATGTGTTACCATTGATAAGAATAATTGTGATGATTGTTTAAACTTATGCTATAAACATTACCAGAAATGTTAGTTTTGAAAATCATCCATTGCGAAAATAATGAAGATTTCAAATAACGATATGATTTTTTTTAAGAAGACAAATAAATTATAATTTATTTCACATAAATTGAGACATTTGTTGTTTTTTTTGTTCTAAAAAACGTCAGTGTGTCATATAAAAAGGTAGCAATACTAGCATTCCTGCTAGCAAGACAGATTATACTGTTATCAATCTGGCAGAGTGTCTGGAAGCTGATGAAGTAACCTACTGGCAGTGATCCCTGCAGGGATTCCATTAACCCTATATGCTTTCCTAAAATGGCTTTTGACCCTCAAAATGTTACAGGTTTGCTATATCAAGGGGTCAGAATACAGGATTTATGCTTGATTTTACTCACGACTTGTGTGTCCAGCAGAAACACTGCATTCATCAGCCTTTTCCCTCCAGTGACTCGTTCTGAGGAGCCATATGTATATGATGCCTGTAACTATTATGTTTTGTTTTGTACCTTGAAGGGATAAACCTTTATGGCTGATAGAGATGTTCTAATAATAGATTACAGTCACAGAGGTCATCTATGTGAAAACAAAATATCAATGACCTTGACTGACTTTCAAGGTCACAGGGGATTAAATGTGTTAAAATCATCAAACAGCTTCTTCTCAATAACCAAAACCCAGGCTGATGATATTTTACCAGTACATTCTGGGATAGAAGACCTACCAAATTTGTTCAAACAAATGACATTGACATATATATATACTTTCAAGGTCAGTAGGGTCAAATTGTTAAAGAATCAAGTGGCCAAGGGCAATATTGATTTCGGCAGTAGCCAGTCAGTGATGAACAGTTACATAGTTTGTTCGAATAAATTGTCTTAACTCTTTTAAGGTGGGAAGGGTCAATTGTGTAATCTCTAAACAAAAAATCTTCAAAATGACATTAAGGCAAAAGTTGGTGATATTTGGCTGATAGCATGCTTGGATTAATGGCTGCCTCATTTGTTCAAATGAATAAAATTGAGTCACTTTCAAGGTCACAGGGTTAAAATGTGTTAAAAAATTTCCTCAATAATAAAATAAATGATGATCATATGTGCTCAGGTGAATGCTGGAATGAAAGGGCTACCAGGTTTGTTAAAATGAATAAAAGTAACTGACTCCTTTCTAGATCAATAATATGTTCGACCTTTGTCCACTTTTAAGTTTACAGGTGTGAAATTAATACCCGGTCATAGATACAGGCCAATTAAACCTCTTGTTTACAAATGAATTACCTTGACATATCTGCAGATCAAATATGGTCAAATATGTTAAAAACTCCCTTCATTTAAAAAATATTGAGGCCTACATTTAGAGTAACAATTAAATTGAATTAAAATGATCAAATGACTTCTGTTAGTTATGTACAAGACAAAGGCTCATGATATTTGTCTTGTATCTTTCTTGGATGAAGGCCAAAGATCGTCAAGTTTATCCATTGACCTTCCCTGAAGGTCACAAGTGTTAATGTTGAATACATTCAAATCTCCCAACTTCTTCTTCTAAAGGACATCAAAACTTTGGTGTATGATAATTGGTGCAAAGCTTGCTTTGATAGTGGGCTTTGTGTTTGATTTATAAAATAATGACCCTGATCTACTTTCAAGATCACATTGGTCGAAGAACTAAGTTATTAAAACTTTAACTAATTTACAAGAAAGAACAATAAGGCTCAAAATATTCTCACAATTCTTGACTTCCAATCTATGAAATTATATTCCATTGTCCGGTCAAAGTCATATTTGCAATGTGGACACCGTCAAATCAGGTGACAAATACAGGTCCTATACGACTTTTGTTGTAGATCCACATTTCAGAGCTGTGACGGGATGTGTATGGTACCGTCCTACTCTCTCTGTTTGACATGTGTTCATACGATATACCTTTTGTGTCTTCCTTGTGAAGTTTTGGTGGTATCATGTGTAGAGAAATAGACGTCTGACTATAACACCTATTGCTGTCTATCTACCCAAATATTTACACTTCTTATGTCAAGGTCATCATATCGTTAGAAAACACATTTCAAAGATGTTGTAGTGTATATATATGGAACCCAGTTGACACATTCTTTGTTGAGCGGTACCTGTACATGTCACACACGTAAATGTACATGTATATACAGATACAAGTTCAAGTTCAAGTTCAAGTTCTTTATTACTTTAAGTCGGNCATTACAAGGCGCTTATGGCTTGGTTTAAAGACAATTACGGAGTTTAGTTTAAACCTATTTTATTGCAATATAATTACAAAAGGATTGGGCACAATTACGGAGTTGGAGCTATGCTCAATAGAACACCAAATAGATCCCTATTAAGGATCTTGGTACACGTTTACATGTTACTGAAGTTCTTATAGATGCATGTCCCATAAAAGAACGCTTTGGACCGGGATACAAGTCATAGATGAAGTAGCCGAAGAAAGATACGCTTCAGTTAACAGGACGCGTAGGACCGGGATACACGTCGTAGATGTATTTAGCTGAAGTAAGATACGCGTCACTAAACAGGACGCTTTGGACCGGGATACAATTCATAGATGGAGTAGCTGAAGAAAAATACGCTTCAGTTAACAGGACGCGTAGGACCGGGATACATGTCGTAGATGTATTTAGCTGAAGTAAGATACGCGTCACTAAACAGGACGCTTTGGACCGGGATACAATTCATAGATGAAGTAGCTGAAGAAAGATACGTTTCAGTTAACAGGACGCGTAGGACCGGGATACACGTCGTACAGATGTATATGCAGTAGCTGAAGTAAGATCCGCGTCAGTAAAAGGGACGCTTAGGACCGGGATACATGTCATAGATGAAATAAATAAATATAAAACATTTGATATAGCGCCTTATTACCCCTTTGAGAAAAATCTAGGAATCTGATTGGTTAAAAACTACAGTGTACCAAACCGCATTCGTAAATCTCAAGGGGTATACGAAAATCTCAGGGGGTATACGGTCATGTCACGTGATTCTCCGCAGTAATACGGTGGAATCACGTGCTTTTACAAGGGGTATACGGGTCACGTGTCTTTGTATCTTGCGGCCGGGCAATGGGAGACAACTCGCATTCGTCGTCTACTTCCGGCGATGTTTACAAAATGACAAAACGTTTCGCTTCGCATACTGATGAGGAAATACTCGCCAAAAGGGCTAACTATGTGCCACAAAACACACAAAAGTCGAACAGACGAGCGGCAAACATGCTGAGGACGAATTTAAAAGAAAAGAATCAGGAAGAACAGTTCGAGGAGTTTGATAAAACGAAACTAAATGAGGTAGATCTACTGTGCCATTTTTATCTTGACAACAGAAAAGTTGACCGGGAACTGTACAAAACCAATATAAAAGACTCAAAGGGGTAATAAATTCGTAACTAATATTATCTAGCTAACATAAGCCACTCTAAAGCACTGTAAAGTAGGATACGTTGCACGAAACAGGACGCTAAGGACCTAGATACAATCTTAAATATATTAGCTGAAATAAGATACGCGTCAGGAAGCAGGACGCTGAGGCCTTAGATACATTTGTAGTAAATGAAGTACATGTAAGATACATATCATGGACGCTTAGGACAAATCGTAAGGAACAGATTTTTAATCTACAGTGTTGATCGAGGATCGAGGTAAACGTCGTAACTACTTGCCCGGACGTTTAGGATCGAGGTAACGTCGTTGATCTAACTGAAGCTGAGTTGATACTGTACATGTTACTTTTCTGGAAGCTTAGGATCGGGTAAACGTCGTTAATCTAACTGAAGCTGAGTAGATACTGAACATGTAACTTGTCCGGACTCTTAGGATCGAGGTAAACGTCGTTAATCTTACTGAAGCTGAGTTGATACTGTACATGTTACTTGTCCGGACGCTTAGGATCGAGGTAAACGTCGTTAAATTAATCTAACTGAAGCTGAGTAGATACTGAACATGTTACTTGTCCGGACTCTTAGGATCGAGGTAAACGTCGTTAATCTAACTGAAGCTAAATACAGACGTAGATATATATAACTTATCAGGACGCTTAATAAGGGCATCGGTAAACGTGGTTAATCTAAATGAATTTATAATAGATCCATTTCACTGAGTACGCTTACGACCTTTATACACTTTGCATTTGTAGTAGAAGTTGTTAAATATACCAAACAGGACCTTGACTTTTGATCTGAATGTTAAGTCAGATGAACACAGAACGTTAACAGGACATTGAATTTGGACCTGATTGTTACGTCAGATAAACACAGAACATTGACAGTACCTTGACTTTGGACCTGATTGTTACGTCAGATAAACACAGAACATGAACAGGACCTTGACTTTGGACCTGATTGGTACGTCAGATAAACACAGAAAATTAACTGGACATTGAATTTGGATCTGATTGTTACGTCAGATAAACACAGAACATTGACAGTACCTTGACTTTGGACCTGCTTGTTACGTCAGATAAACAGAACATTGACAGTACCTTGACTTTGGACCTGATTGTTACGTCAGATAAACACAGAACATTGACAGTACCTTGACTTTGGACCTGATTGTTACGTCAGATAAACACAGAACATTGACAGTACCTTGACTTTGGACCTGATTGTTACGTCAGATAAACACAGAACATTGACAGTACCTTGACTTTGGACCTGATTGTTACGTCAGATAAACACAGAACATTGACAGTACCTTGACTTTGGACCTGATTGTTACGTCAGATAAACACAGAACATTGACAGTACCTTGACTTTGGACCCGATTGTTACGTCAGATAAACACAGAACATTGACAGTACCTTGACTTTGGACCCGATTGTTACGTCAAATAAACACAGAACATTGACAGTACCTTGACTTTGGACCCGATTGTTACGTCAAATAAACACAGAACATTGACAGTACCTTGACTTTGGACCTGATTGTTACGTCAGATAAACACAGAACATTGACAGTACCTTGCCTTTGGACCCGATTGTTACGTCAGATAAACACAGAACATTGACAGTACCTTGACTTTGGACCCGATTGTTACGTCAAATAAACACAGAACATTGACAGTACCTTGACTTTGGACCCGATTGTTACGTCAAATAAACACAGAACATTGACAGTACCTTGACTTTGGACCTGATTGTTACGTCAGATAAACACAGAACATTGACAGTACCTTGACTTCGGACCTGATTGTTACGTCAAATAAACACAGAACGTTAACAGGACATTTACTTTGGACCTGGATACACATTGTACACGTATAGCTGATTCGCGTTAACATCGAACGTACTTTTTATTTAGGACGATATTAAGAAGCACAATGTCGCATAATACAAAAATATATTTAAATATACTTTTAATTAAACAAATGATATTTACATATATGTGTAAAGCAGTACTTTTTCAGAGTGATTCACACAAAAATACAACTTTTAAGGTACATTTTAGCTTCACACAAAAGAGAAGGACTCTGGAATGAAATAATATCATCCGTTTATATTTCGTCTACTTTTGTAAGCGCCGTTTGTTGTGTTGGTCTTTGTTCCCATTGGAAATCCTCTTCCGGTTGTTGATAAGTCGCAATAATAGGAACCCCTGGCACCGATGACGTCACGGTATTTACTGACGTCATCGACGCTTTGTTGTCTTCTCCAGCGTTGGAGATTCCTACGGCTCTGGTCTGACTTCGCTGGAATTTAACTTTGCCGTTATACGCGAGATCTTTGGTCAGTTGTCCTATTTCGACCATCTGTGGTCGCTTGGTGAAGGTGACATGTTTCCGCTTGTCTCCCCGGAATTTAATCCTAGTTTTACTACTAGGATCTAAGTCTTCTGAAGCTGACGGAGAAACTATGACTACACGCGCTCCGCCCGTATACGTCTTCCCGCCTTCCTTGGTCTGTCCATTTCCCATGAGTCACCTCCCCATCGGAATACCTAGGCCATCATCTACCTGTAATATACAAAATTAAAGGATCTTTCATAACCATGAGCTAAACATATGTATTTGCCTATAACGGTGACAAAACGATTGGACACATATCAACATTATCCACGCCCACTCCATCAATATATATACATCGAATTTACAAACATTGATGGACTCACTACCATATATTTACCATCGTATGGCATTACCACTATTTAGTACATCACATGATAAGTTCTAGGATAGCTATTGGATAACTACCCTTGTTCAATTTGGTATAGTTAGCATCCGCCCTTGACAACGGGAAATATACCTGGAGACGGGCACTATACCCTTTTTTGGACCGCTGAGACTGCGGGAAAAGTACCGTGACGCCTAAGAGTTGCGCCCCTTCTCCTAGGGAGCGCTGTACATTTTCTACTTTCACTTCATTGTTGTCGTCTGCCAAAATGGCTTCGAGATTCGGGACCGGGAATGCCGATTGCTTCGCAGAGGCTCAGCAATGCATAAAGACGAAGCAGGCGACACAATTTGCCGTCGCAGTCCTATAAGACTTCCTACTGGAAAAGGGAACCGTATGTGACCTAGCGGTGATTCAATCCAGTGAATTGAACGGTGTTTTGGCGGATTTCTATGCCAATATACGGAACAAAAAAGGAGAGATCTACTCAAAAAGTTATCTTATTGCCATCAGGCAAGGTTTGCGGCGGCATTTACAAGAACCATCATGTGGCAGAGATTTCGACATTCCATTGTTTGTACACCTTCTTTCAAATTTAATAATTGTACCGTTACAATTAACAACAAGTGAACAATTCATGAATCAAAACATCAAATGTTACGTTCAAATTTCCAGCAGTTGTTAATTATTGAATATGTTATCCATGAAGTTCCTCATGTTTGTTTCATGTGATGTACTAAATCTAGTATGGCCCTTTCCCTCGGGAACAGTTCCCTCGGGAAAGGGCCATAATAGAATAATAACCCAACCAAATTCAGTTGGCATTCGTTTAGGCTATGAATGCCGAGGATTGATTGTTAACGTCATCATTATTATGACGTCATAATTGTTACGTTAGATACCACTGACCCTCCCCGGGAGATGGCTGATTCATGTTGGATTTGCCTTTGTCCACTTGGAATTCATATTGCCTATGAATGCCAAATGAAAGCAGTTCAATACTTATATCTACCATTTTTGGAATATGTTCATCTCATTAAAAAAAAAAACAATTACACTTATTATAATTCAGTATTTAGTTCAAATAATGTATGTATCTTGTATGCTTGTTGAACAGCCATCACCCGGGGAGGGTCAGTGGTATCTAACGTAACAATTATGACGTCATAATAATTAGTTTGGTAGGGTTATATAGTGGCAATGCCATACAATGTTGAATATCGCTTAAATAACATAGGAGCAAAAAAAAAAAAGGCATTTTGGACGCATATACCGCGACTTGCAGACGCGAGTTTAACGCTCCATGTGAACATGATCTTTAGGTGAAATTTCAGAAAGAATTAAGATTTGCATGCATGCACGACCGAAATCTTAAATCCAAATTGAATAATGGTATATCATCACTAACTTAGTATTTTAATGAATGAACAAACTGTTACACACAAACTTACCTTATTTAAACAATTTTCCTATGAAACACATAATGACATAATAATGTCGTGTGTCACTATCGATACAATATCACGTACCCGTGGCGTTTTTGTCAATCAAAGCTACAGGTTTATATAGATAAGTATTTACATACGATGTCGACCAATAATCCAACCGTCAAAATGGCGTCGTTTTTCAACACTACCTATAGATCTTGGTACGTTTTCAACCTTTCATTTCACGAAACTGTGCTGAGTTATACAAAGCTGAGCACACACCGATCGCTCCTTTTGATTAAACAAATTAAGTTTTAAATACCTTTGGGTAATGTCTATACTGGCTAACGTGTTCTAAAGACTATTGCGTACTACGGAGTAACACAATATGTACCCCGTGTGGTGGTGTGAAATATTTACTCTGCCTTTGAATTCTCTGTCGTCAAAAAGGTCTATCTATATTCTAATGACTATGTGTATGGCCAAGCCAGTCTGTACACAACTGTATTGTGTAGTCCTGTATCGACATTATTCACGGTCATCATATGTAAGGAATGGGAATCAAATAAAACGCTCGTCTTTTTCTGAGTTGGTATACATATGTTGAATCCGACACGTATCGTGTTTCCGCAGTGATCCTGAGATCCACATCAACAATAGAGACATGGTACATTATAAGGTTTATAGACACGACAAACAATGATTAAGCCTATGTATAATATATTTTACTTTTTAGACGTATATAATATAGTATATCTCTTAAATTATGAAATGTATCAAGAACAATCGAGCGAACACGAACAAATATGTATAAGCCGTGTGCCTATATAAGGCGGTGTTGTGAGGTCTGAGCCACATAATTTAAGTTAACACTACTGCAGCAAACTATAAAGACGTATCTATACACTATAATGTCATCCTACATTTACAACTAATTAAACTGCCAACTTTAACTTACTGTTATATCGGGACTGGGCTGCGCGACTAATTCAATCCACGTTTCTACTGTGACTGCTACTGAAATCACCAAGAAACCAGTTTTATGACGTCACTGTACGTGCAGCGTCACAATGTTTCAAAGAATAATCCAAGTTTTATAATATTGTGATTTAAAAAGTAACACCATCCATGCCCCAAAAGGCAAAGTTTACACCACGTGGTTCTCTGCTCACAATCCTTTCTGGACGTGTTCGATGCCGTGGAGCCTCTCTCGGGGGTTCCCGACGTCCAGGAGGAAGAGAGTACCTCTGACTCCGATGCCTTTTCTCTATCAGCTTTCTTAACTCATCGGTGATGTCGTTTTCCTCTCCGACTTCCGGAACGTCATCGCCAATGCGCTTTATTTTCTCTCCTTTTTCGTGTGAACGTTTGCCGTATCTTCTTTTGAGCATTGCGTCTCTTGCGTCATCTTCCTCGTACAATAGCTCGTCTTTTCTAATATCACCGCTACTGTCCCTTACATCATACTGACTGTACCTTCTGTGTGATTTTTGTCCATCCTTCACGTATAGCGTGTCATCCCTGAAGGACGTTGGTTTATCTATGTGATCTTGTGTGTATTTAGATTCGTCCTTTGTAAATGGGGTATGTTTCGTGTCGTCCTTTGTCAGTCGTCTGTGCCGAGATTTCTCCGTGTCCTTAGATAACTTCACATCTCCGTCTTTAATGAGTTTCTTGTTGTCCTCGGTGCCGTGTGACGTTCTCTCTTCTATCTGTTCTAACCGGACAGGTCTTTGACTTTGCACGGGTTTATTGTCGTCTTTTAAGGGACGTGTAGCTCGTTTTACGCTCGATGTGGACCCCATCGGACTGCCCTGGTGGCACTCTGTATCCGGGACCTTATCATTTCCAAGATGTAATCTAAATCTAAATTGACGAGAGTGTAAGTACACCATGCAATCGGCATGATGATAACATGTTTACGAAAACCTGGTCAAAATTTCATCAGTCACGTTTGAATGACGGCTTTTGGTCATACTCAAAGGCACAATGTTCGCTTTAACGTGGGTTTAAATGGACGTGGTGTACCGACTTAACTGAAAGTAAACCTAATCGATTTTTATTTTTGAAAGACGTCTCGCAAAATGAGCCATGAAAAGATATTGAACTTATGCTGAAATGAAGTTCTTTTATTGATGTACCAGGGTCCGTCTACAGATGTGTGCACGATATACCTTTGACTTACTTATGTTGTAACGTGCATCAATGAGTTTTGATTCCGATTGCCCATTCAAAAGGAGGCTAAATTAAAACTGTTTTTGTCATTTTTATGATATTTATGGAATTTAATATCATACTTACTTCAAAAGAAAAAAGAAACACGGGCAAAAAATATTCCACAACTCTTTTGTTTGCATGATATTTGCTTTTTAGTAATGTTAAATAATTATCCAAGGAATAATGACCTTTGATTCTTTTACTGTTCCAAAGTAGCGGTTAGTCTTTTCCATTCAGTAATATCAAACTTTGTGTTTTTAAAAACTTTATCCTTGGGCTAGTCAAAGTATCAGTGTAAAATGGGCTATGTGGAACATTTTTGTTAAAATATGTCCCTACATGAATGTTCTTACTAAAATAATACAACTCGGTATCAAACTGGCGGTTAAAAAGGAACAGCGAGGGCCAGTTATCCGTCAATGCATTAAAGGATTTTGGTATCTCTAATATCGCGCCATGTGACGGCACGTCATTGTTTTCATTATGACGTCACTTCCGTAAGATATGCCATCGTCCATTTTGTACCATTGGTGACGTTCTCATTTCAAGTAAGTCCGTTCTTTTTGTTGCAAACATGTGCATAACTTTCAACATACCGTCGAATGTGAGGGAGAAGATTGCAATTACGATTTGTATACTCAATAGTTTGATCGCTTTATTTGGAATAGCTCTTATTGGCATGGCAGTATACATGAAGATAAACATTGACTCTAGAATGATGTTGCTGGATGGATATGACACCGATGTTCTGCCATATTTTCTACTTGCAGTTGGAATCAAAGTGGTTATTTTACATATTGTAACCTTTAAGATTGTATACGATTGTTCGACTTCTGAGATGAGTGGGCGATGTGTGAACTTTCTCTTTCTTGCGGTTATACTGTCATTTATTTTAGTCTGGTTCCTACTGGCGGGGGGTCTGATGTGTTTCACTCATCGTTCTGTTATCGAGGAGTCCTTGCAGAATGGTCTGGGCTACGTAATGAAACGGTACAAAACGGATATGTTCGTGAAGGTGACCTTGGATAAACTACAACAGGAATATCACTGTTGTGGCAGCAATGGCTACAGTGATTGGTTTGACGTCAACTGGGTCAATGAAGAATTCCTGAACACCAAACACCCAGACATTATACGGTATGACGACTAGCTTTATGTGCACTGTACATTACACGTAAAGTTAAAAGTAGTAATTATTTTATGCAGAAATACGTGCAGTGTACGTGACTTGTAGTAGGTTAATTTCAGCAGTGATACGTTAAAGGGTGGGTTTGGGTGGGGTAGGGGTGAAGCGGAGCGGACCGTACGATGAATGCAAATCCCAGTTAAAAGTAAGATTGCGTTTTCTCTCATATCCGGTCATGTAAGATAACGCTGGCCATGTAAGATAACCATGCTTGCTGAGTCTATCTTACATGGGCTAATCACATCGCGTAGTAATACAAAAACTAAGGGGAGCAGCTCCCAATATCAACATCTTACGTCGTCTGCTACGTTTGCTCTGTATTTATTAATTGTATCTATAATTTCATTTATATTAATTAATTACATGATCAGTCATGAGTTAAAAATTTGACAACAAAAACATAATTTGTTTTCTATTTTCAACTAGGAACTATATTTCTCTGCGCACTAAATTAAATGAGATGTACAGTAAGTAGCGATGAGGTTCAAAGATGGCGCTTAGAAAATAACGTATGGAAATTATTAAAGTTGAATAACAACTAAACCATAGAGTTATCATGGAAATGTGTTGTTTTTATGCGTGCAACATGTTGCAGTTTGAGGGTATGGAGAATTCATTTCTACTTCTATTTTTGTTTTTAAACTACGGAGAAAGTATTTAAAAAACCGGAAGATGGCGACCGTCTTTGACATTGACAGGTGGAGTATTTGTTTTTTAATGGTAGATATGAGAGAAAACTACTCTAATGTAACAGAAGGTAGGTAGAGAATTCCTCCCTCGGTGATCATAATTGAGGTAAAAACCCAAGGTTTATCTTTGAAAGATAAGACTCTTTCATACATGAATACACGGGAGGTGGATAGAGAATTCCTCCCGAAGAAATATAATAACATTATATACATGTAATAAGGATAAGAAAATGTTGAACAATGGAAACGAAGTCGCTTCGCATAAGTTACAATTATAAAATGTAATTATTTTTCCAACGTTTTAGAACCCAAAGTTATATACATATCATATAATACATATTAACACGCGCATATGTTGATTAAAATTATTCCTTAATTAAGTAGAAAGATTGTTGTTAATATTTGAGTGAATATAAAGAAAGAATAAAGTGCAAAATACGTACTTAGTCACTTCAAGTAATTAATTAAACTGTATTATATTCATTAATCCAACATAATTAAGATACATTTAACTTGAAATAGATGAAGATGATACAAATATTAATGCAATACAGTGATTATACAAATATCAATGTAATAAAGTGATGATACAAAAGTGAGGATACAAAATCAATGTAATAAAATGAGGATACGAATATCAATGTAATAAAATGAGGATACGAATATCAATTTATTGAAGTGAGAATAAAAAAGTGAGGATGCAAATATCAATGTAATGAAGTGAGAATAAAAAAGTGAGGATACAAATATCAATGTAATAACATGAGGATACAAATATCAATGTAATAAAGTGAGGATACAAATATAAATGCAATAAAGTGAGGATACAAAAGTGAGGATACAAATATCAATGTAATAACATGAGGATACAAATATCAATGTAATAAAGTGAGGATACAAAAGTGAGGATACAAATATCAATGCAATAAAGTGATGTAATAAAGATTAACGCAATAAAGTGAGGATACAAATATCAATGTTATAAAGTGAGGATACAAAAGTGAGGATACAAATTTCAATGTAATAAAGTGAGGATACAAAAGTGAGGATACAAATATCAATGTAATAAAGTGAGGATACAAAAGTGAGGATACAAATATCAATATAATAAAGTGAGGATACAAAAGTGAGGATTCAAATATCAATGTAATAAAGTGAGGATACAAAAGTGAGGATACAAATATCAATGTAATAAAATGAGGATACAAATATCAATTTATTGAAGTGAGAATACAAAAGTGAGGATACAAATATCAATGTAATAACGTGAGGATACAAATATCAATGTAATAAAGTGAGGATACAAATATCAATGAAATAAAGTGGGGATACAAATATCAATGCAATAAAGTGAGGATACAAATATTAATGTAATAAAGTGAGGATACAAATATCAATGTAATAAAGTGATGATTCAAATATCAATGTAATAAAGTGAGAATACAAATATCAATGTAATAACGTGAGAATACAAAAGTGAGGATACAAATATCAATGTAATAAAATGAGAATACAAATATCAATTTAATGAAGTGAGGATACAAATATCAATGTAATAACGTGAGGATACAAATATCAATGTAATAACGTAAGGATACAAATATCAATGTACTAACGTGAGTATACAAAAGTGAGGATACAAATATCAATGTAAAGAAGTGAAAATACAAAAGTGAGGATACAAATATCAATGTAATAACATGAGGATACAAATATCAATGTAATAAAGTGAGGATACAAATATCAATGTAATAAAGTGGGGATACAAATATCAACAATAAAGTGAGGATACAAATATCAACGTAATAAAGTGAGTTTACAAATATCAATGTAATAAAGTGGGGATACAAATATTAATGGAATAAAGTGAGGATACAAATATCAACGTAATTAAGTGAGTTTACAAACATCAATGTAATAAAGTGAGTTTACAAATATCACTGTAATAAAGTGGGGATACAAATATCAACGCAATAAAGTGAGGATACAAATATCAATGTAATAAAGTTAGGATACAAAAGTGAGGATACAAATATCAATGTAATAAAGTAAGTGCGGATACAAATATCAATGCAATAAAGTGATGATACAAATATCAATGCAATAGAGCGAGGATACAAAAGTGAGATATAACTATCAATGTAATGAAATGAGGATACAAATATCAATGTAATGAGGTGAGAATACAAAAGTGAGGATACAAATATCAATGTAATAAAGTGGGGATACACAAGTGAGGATACAAATATCAATGTAAAAAGATGAGGATACAAATATCAATGTTATAAAGTGGAGATCTATACAATTATCAATGCAATAAAGTGAGGATACAAATATCAATGTAATAAAGTGAGGATACAAAAGTGAGGCTACAAATATCAATGTAATAAAGTGATGATAAAAATATCAATGCAATAAAGTGAGGATACAAAAGTGAAGATGAAAATATCAATGTAATAATTTGAGGATACAAATATCAATGTAATAAAGTGATATACAAATACCAATGCAATAAAGTGATGATACAAATATCAATGTAATAAAGTGAGGATGCAAATATCAATGTAATAAAGTGATGATACAAATAACAATGCAATAAAGTGAGGATGCAAATATCAATGTAATAAAGTGGGGATGCAAATATCAATGTAATAAAGTGATGATACAAATATCAATGTAATAAAGTGATGATACAAATACCAATGCAATAAAATGAGGATGCAAATATCAATGTAATATAGTGATGATACAAATACCAATGCAATGAAGTCAGGATGCAAATATCAATGTAATAAAGTGATGATACAAATACCAATGCAATAAAGTGAGGATGCAAATATCAATGTAATAAAGTGAGGATACAAATATCAATGTAATAAAGTGATGATACAAATATTAATGTAATAAAATGAGGATACAAATATCCATGTAGTAAAGTGAGGATACAAAAGTGATGATACATATATCAATGTAAGAAAGTGAGAATAAAAATATCAATGCAATTAAGTGAGGATACAAATATTAATGCAATAAAGTTAGGATACAAATATTAATGTAATAAAGTGAGGATACAAAAGTGAGGATACAAAATGTACAAATATCAATGTAATAAAGTGAGGATACAAAAGTGATGATACAAATATCAATGCAATAAATTGAGGTTACAAATATTCTCTGTTTATGTTATTTTCTGTAGGAAGCTGAAGGGGGGTTTATTCTACTCGGACGATGTTCCCTACAGTTGTTGTGACGTAACATCACCCCGTCCATGTGTCCATCATGCTGTCAAGGACAAATCGATGCACGTGCACTACGGAAGTGTAACTCTGTACCAATCCGGCTGTTCCAACGTCCTGATGGATTTCTTTGAAAACAGAATCCTTGTACCGACAGGATGGTCAGTCATCTCGGCTTTCCTTTTACAGGTTCGTTACCTTACTTTCTTCGAATGGAATTTTTCATTCCGCGATTGTATAGTTGGTTTTATTCCAAACTCACTTTTTCAACGCACGACTTTCTCACCTGTCACACCTGGACACGTACTCAAGACATCTCCAAATAGGGACAAACACCGAAACTACCGGACAGGTAACACACCAAATATGAACATACACGTCAAGTTACGAAGAGTAACGAACACTCATCGGACAGAACACAGACAATAGACATAGGGACTAGACTCAAACAACCCTACTATTACATAAACATTCTCAGGCATTAAATAAAGACTTGAAACATATACACATGAATATCCCTTGGTAAATTGCTGTGACATTTACATTAATGTTCATTAAAGGGTTTTAAAAATTAAGGTAAACGGTAACGTAAAGTACGAATGTGGTGTCACCATTGTCACTGTTATAAAATAAAGGAAATATCTGTTTAGTCCTTTTCTACAGAAATATTCAATATATAATTGATATGTTAAGTAGCAGTTTACGGAGTTAAATTGTTAGAAATTTTACTTTTTGAAAATAAAAATCAGGAGGTAACTCTTGACCTTTACACTGCCACTACTAGAGTTCATCATTCATCAAAATAGAGTCACCCTTGAAGCTGAAAACTGAATTACTTGGCAACGGAAGTCATTCCGTCTTCTATGTTGTTTCGTTTTCGATTACAACGTGGGACATTGTACCTTAAGTCAGATGTACTTCTGATTTATATATATGCAAGACCACACATTTGTGTTTTCCTAACGAATCAGAAAGCACTCATTCATTGCGCGGACGAATATATACATGTACGTCCGCGCAATAAATGAGTGCTTTCTGATTCGTTAAACAAAAANGAGTACATCATGTTGATATAATGATCTTAGAATTAGTTATCTGTGTAACTATCGGTTATCTACACAGACGTAACATACAGTTAATATCATTTCATGTTGTATCGATCTGTTTCGTGGTAAATTCTTCNCCGGCTAGTAGGTAAAAATACAACATTTCATGGTCTGAAAATTGCTTGTATTACTATAACAAGATTCAACAGGTATGTGATAAAGTTGTATGTTTCTTTCCACGATGAGCTATTTCTACAATAAACGACATCTGACCTATCTACATGTGTTTACGTTTGAAGTTCGTGACGTTGGTGTTGATGCGATACCTGCAGACTTCCATGGCGGATGCACGTGACATGGAGGATCCCGAGGGGGAAGGGGCGGGGTACTGCTGTCCAGGCTGTCCGTGTGACTGCTGCTCTCCCGGGGACCCCATGAAATATGTCAAACGTAAAAATAATTTATACTCTTAAAACGTTCTTTACTTTAATAAGCTTTACAAATGTACTTAAATATGATGAAAATTAGTAGTTATATACCAAGGTATATTAACTGGCATTTGATTATTATTTTACTCAGTCTCGTTTTTTAAAGCTTAAAAATTACCCATATGATAAACACAACACTGTTCGATACATATTTCATTATCACTGCTCACTCCGGGGATCCTAGGATATTCTCTTTGTCAATTATATACCGAGTTCGGTGAGTATGAGAGTACATCATGTTGATATAATGATCTTAGAATTAGTTAACTGTGAACTATCGGTTATCTACACAGACGTACCATACAGTGAATATCATTTCATGTTGTATCGATCTGTTTCGTGGTAAATTTTTCTCTTACTGACCGAGAACACACTTGTTACATGTTTAATTGCTCACTTAATCATTACGTCAGCATCTTAACCAATCTTTCTTTGTTACAAACTAAATAGCGAAGAGGTGTTCCAGCGATGACATAGAAGATGGAAAGGGTGGAACTGCCCCAGAGTTTGACTTTGAGGATAGTAGTGGTAGGGACAATTCGACGGACAAGAACAAAGAAGACAAGAGGAACAGAAGAAAGGACAAAAAGGACAAAAAAGGAAAGGATAAAAAGGACAAAACTAGAAAGGATAAATCCAAGGAACGTTAGGATAAAAAAGCTTAAACTGGTGGTAAAAAATAACCTACTAAACGGAAAGGTTCGCCTAAATCAAAAATGTCTCCCGGAAAGAAAACTTCGCCAACAGCGTCAGATCATGATCAACACAGAACATTAACAGGACATTGACTTTGGACCTGATTGTTACGTCGGATAAACACAGAACATGAACAGGACATTTACTTTGGACCTGATTGTTACGCCAGATAAACACAGAACATGAACAGGACCTTGTCCTTGGACCTGATTGTTACGACAGATAAACACAGCACATTAACAGGACCTTGACTTTGGACCTTATTGTTCCGTCGGATAAACACAGAACACCAACAGGACCTTGACTTTGGACCTGATTGTTGCGTCAGATAAACACAGAACATGAACAGGACATTTACTTTGGACCTGATTGTTACGTCGGATAAACACAGAACACCAACAGGACCTTGACTTTGGACCTGATTGTTACGTCGGATAAACACAGAACACCAACAGGACCTTGACTTTGGACCTGATTGTTACGGGACCTTGTCTTTGGACCTGATTGTTACGACAGATAAACACAGCACATTAACAGGACCTTGACTTTGGACCTGATTGTTGCGTCAGATAAACACAGAACATGAACAGGACCTTGACTTTGTACCTGATTGTTACGACAGATAAACACAGAACATGAACAGGACATTTTCTTTGGACCTGATTGTTACGTCAGATCAACACAGAACATGAACAGGACCTTGACTTTGCACCTGATTGTTACGTCAGATAAACACAGTGATTTTGGACCTGATTGTTACGTCAGATAAACACAAAACATTAACAGGCCCTTGCCTTTGGACCTGATTGTTACGTCAGATAAACAGAGAACATGAACAGGACCTTGACTTTGGACCTGAGTGTTACGTCAGATAAACACAGAACATTAATAGGACCTTGACTTTGGACCTGATTGTTGCGTCAGATAAACACAGAACATGAACAGGACATTGACTTTGGACCTGATTGTTACGTCAGTTAAACACAGAACATGAACAGGACATTTACTTTGGACCTGATTGTAACGTCAGATAAACACAGACCATTAACAGGACCTTGTCTTTGGACCTGATTGTTCGACAGATAAACACAGAACATTAACAGGACATTTACTTTGGACCTGATTGTAACGTCAGATAAACACAGACCATTAACAGGACCTTGTCTTTGGACCTGATTGTTCGACAGATAAACACAGAACATTAACAGGACCTTGACTTTGGACCTTATTGTTCCGTCGGATAAACACAGAACACCAACAGGACCTTGACTTTGGACCTGATTGTTGCGTCAGATAAACACAGAACATGAACAGGACCTTGACTTTGTACCTGATTGTTACGACAGATAAACACAGAACATGAACAGGACCTTGTCCTTGGACCTGATTGTTACGACAGATAAACACAGCACATTAACAGGACCTTGACTTTGGACCTGATTGTTACGCCAGATAAACACAGAACATTAACAGGACATTTACTTTGGACCTGATTGTTACGTCGGATAAACACAGAACACCAACAGGACCTTGACTTTGGACCTGATTGTTACGCCAGATAAACACAGAACATGAACAGGCCCTTGACTTTGGACCTTATTGTTACGTCGGATAAACACAGAACATTAACAGGACCTTGACTTTGGACCTTATTGTTACGTCGGATAAACACAGAACACCAACAGGACCTTGACTTTGGACCTGATTGTTACGTCAGATAAACACAGAACATGAACAGGACCTTGACTTTGGACCTTATTGTTACGTCGGATAAACACAGAACATCAACAGGACCTTGACTTTGGACCTGATTGTTGCGTCAGATAAACACAGAACATGAACAGGACCTTGACTTTGGACCTTATTGTTACGTCGGATAAACACAGAACATCAACAGGACCTTGACTTTGGACCTGATTGTTGCGTCAGATAAACACAGAACATGAACAGTACCTTGACTTTGGACCTGATTGTTACGTCAGATAAACACAGAACGTTAACAGGACCTTGTCTTTGGACCTGATTGTTACGACAGATAAACACAGAACATTAACAGGACCTTGATTTTGGACCTGATTGTTACGTCAGATAAACACAGAACGTTAACAGGACCTTGTCTTTGGACCTTATTGTTTCGTTAGCTAATCACAGAACATTAACAGTACCTTTACTTTGGACCTGATTGTTACGTCAGATAAACACAGAACATTAACAGGCCTTCGCTTTGGACCTGATTGTTACGTCAGATAAACACAGAACATTAACAGGCCTTCGCTTTGGACCTGATTGTTACGTCAGATAAACACAGAACATGAACAGGACCTTGACTTTGGACCTGATTGTTACGTCAGATAAACAAAAAACATTAACAGGCCTTTGTCTTTGGACCTGATTGTTACGTCAGATAAACACAGACCATTAGCACGAGCTTGACTTTGGACCTGATTGTTACGTCAGATAAACACAGAACATGAACAGGACCTTGACTTTGGACCTGATTGTTACTTCAGACAAATACAGAACATTGACAGTACCTTGTCTTTGGACCTGATTGTTACGTCAGATAAACACAGAACATTAGCACGAGCTTGACTTTGGACCTGATTGTTACGTCAGATAAACAAAGAAACAAAAACGGGACATTTACTTTGGACCTGATTGTTACGTCAGATAAACAAAAAACATTAACAGGCCTTTGTCTTTGGACCTGATTGTTATGTCAGATAAACACAGAACATTAACAGGACCTTGACTTTGGACCTGATTGTTACGTCAGATAAACAAAGAAACAAAAACGGGACATTTACTTTGGACCTGATTGTTACGTCAGATAAACAAAAAACATTAACAGGCCTTTGTCTTTGGACCTGATTGTTATGTCAGATAAACACAGAACATTAACAGGACCTTGACTTTGGACCTTATTGTTCCGTCAGATAAACACAAATCATGAACAGGGCATTTACTTTGGACCTGATTGTTACGTCAGATATACACAGAACATTAACAGGCCCTTGTCTTTGGACCTGATTGTTACGTCAGATAAACACAGAACATGAACAGGGCATTTACTTTGGACCTGATTGTTACGTCAGATAAACACAGAACATTAACAGGACCTTGACTTTGGGTCTGATTGTTACGTCAGATAAACACAGAACATTAACAGGCCTTTGTCTTTGGACCTGATTGTTACGTCAGATAAACACAGAACATTAACAGGACCTTGACTTTGGACCTTATTGTTCCGTCAGATAAACACAAATCATGAACAGGGCATTTACTTTGGACCTGATTGTTACGTCAGATAAACACAGAACATGAACAGGGCATTTACTTTGGACCTGAGTGTTACGTCAGATAAACACAGAACATTAGCACGAGCTTGGCTTTGGACCTGATTGTTACGTCAGACAAATCAAACACAGAACATTAGCACGAGCTTGGCTTTGGACCTGATTGTTACGTCAGACAAACACAGAACATGAACAGGACATTTACTTTGGACCTGATTGTTACGTCAGATAAACACAGAACATGAACAGGACATTCTGATTGTTTCGTCAGCTTATCACAGAACATTAACAGGACCTTGACTTTGGACCGATTGTTATGTCAGATAAACACAGAGCATTAACAGGACCTTGTCTTTGGACCTGATTGTTACGTCAGATAAACACAGAACATACATTCTGATTGTTTCGTCAGCTAATCACAGAACATTAACAGGACCTTGTCTTTGGACCTGATTGTTACGTCAGACAAACACAGAACATGAACAGGACATTTACTTTGGACCTGATTGTTACATGAACAGGACATTTACTTTGGACCTGATTGTTACATGAACAGGACATTTACTTTGGACCTGATTGTTACATGAACAGGACATTTACTTTGGACCTGATTGTTACGTCAGATAAACACAGACCATTAACAGGACCTTGTCTTTGGACCTGATTGTTACTTCGGATAAATACAGAACATTAACAGGACCTTGACTTTGGACCTGATTGTTACGTCAGATAAACACAGAACATTAACAGGACCTTAACTTCGGACCTGATTGTTACGTCAGATAAACACAGCACATTAACAGGACCTTGACTTTGGACCTGGGTACACATTGTACACGTATAGCAGATTCGCGTTAACATTGTACGTACAAAGTATTTTTTATTTAGGACGATATTAAGAAGCACAATGTCACATAATACAAAAATATGTTCAAATATACTTTTAATTAAGCAAATGATATTTACATATATGTGTATTGCAGGACTTTTTCAGAGTGATTCACTATACAACATCTGTTCACAGCATTCAATTTAATGTTATGGTATATATCTCAATGAATAATGAAGTCTTTCTCTGTTCATAAAGTTAAAGGTACATTTTAGCTTCACACAAAAGGGAAGGACTCTGGAATAAAATGATATCATCCGTTTATATTTCGTCTACTTTTGTAAGCGCCGTTTGTTGCGTTGGTCTTTGTTCCCATTGGAAATCCTCTTCTGGTTGTTGATAAGTCGCAATGCTAGGAACCCCTGGCACCGATGACGTCACGGTATTTACTGACGTCATCGACGCTTTGTTGTCTTCTCCAGCGTTGGAGATTCCTACGGCTCTGGTCTGACTTCGCTGGAATTTAACTTTGCCGTTATACGCGAGATCTTTGGTCAGTTGTCCTATTTCGACCATCTGTGGTCGCTTGGTGAAGGTGACATGTTTCCGCTTGTCTCCCCGGAATTTAATTCGAGTTTTACTACTAGGATCTAAGTCTTCTGAAGCTGACGGAGAACTATGACTACACGCGCTCCGCCCGTATACGTCTTCCCGCCTTCCTTGGTCTGTCTATTTCCCATGAGTCACCTCCCCATCGGAATACCTAGGCCATCATCTACCTGTAATATACAAAATTAAAGGATCTCTCATAACCATTAGCTAAAAGTATGTATTTGCCTATAACAGTGACAAAACGATTGGACACATATTAACGCCCACTCCACCAATATATATACATCGAATTTACAAACATAAATGGACTCACTGCCATATATTTATGACTATACCATCGCCCGGGGAGGGTCAGTGGTATTTATTATACCTCTACTTTATTTACTCTATATAAAAGTAATTGGTTAAATCGAATATATCCCCACTGTGTTTCAGTCCTGTGTGTTGGTCTGGGAACTAAAACACACCTACACTCGGGTGTTTCCGCCGAGTCAATCAGGCGAGAGGTGGGCGGAGCTTATAACCGAACTCGGAAGCGACGCGCGAGGTGGAAGGAGCTTGCTACCGAACTCGGAAGCGACGCGCGAGGTGGGCGGAGCTTGCTTCCGAACAAGAAGCATTTGTTTTTTTTGCCATCAAAAGGATAGTTGGGACGTGAAGCTAAACTGCTTATAGTTTACAAATATTTTCTAGTTAAAACTATCTCTCTAGTGTGTATCGGTATAATAAAACGGTTAAAGTATGGGTTTGCCTCGGGAAAAAGACCTGGTCTCGGGACACCAGAAACTTGCTTTTCCGTCTTTGCGTACTACAGAGTTATCTCTCTTGGGCGCAGGTATTGATTGTAACGTCATTGGTCTGTGTGAGAAAATTACGTCGTTTTCTCAAAACATGATGTCGTTATTCTCACAAACAAGTGACGTAACAATCAATACCTGCTCCCAAGAGAAGATAACTCTGCAATATGCAAAGACGGAATATCCTTCAACCCTATACTTAAACTGTATACTAACGTAACAATTTTGACGTCAACACTACCTATAGATCTTGGTACGATTTCAATCTTTCATTTCACGGAACTGTGCCGAGTTACTCCAAGCTGAGCACACACGGATCGCTCCTTTTGATTAAACGAATAAATTAAGTTTTAAATACCTTTGGGTAACGTCTATACTGGCTAACGTATTCTAAAGACTATTGCGTACTACGGAGTAACACAATATGTACCCCCGTGTGATGGTGTGAAATATTTACTCTGCCTTTGAATTCACTGTCGTCAAAAGGTCTATCTATATTCTAATGACTATGTGTATGGCCAAGCCAGTCTGTACACAACTGTATTGTGTAGTCCTGTATCGACATTATTCACGGTCATCATATGTAAGGAATGGGAATCAAATAAAACGCTCGTCGTTTTCCGAGTTGGTATACATATGTTGAATCCGACTCGTATCGTGTTTCCGCAGTGATCCTGAGATCCACATCAACAACAGAGACATGGGACATTATAAGGTTTATAGACACGACAAACAATCATTAAGCCTATGTATAATATATTTTACTTTTTAGACGTATATAATATAGTATATATCTTAGATTATGAAATGTATCAAGAACAATCGAGCGAACAGGAACAAATATGTATAAGCCGTGTGCCTATATAAGGCGGTGTTGTGAGGTCTGAGCCACATAATTTAAGTTAACACTACTGCAGCAAACTATAAAGACGTATCTATTAACTATAATGTCATACTACATTTACAACTAATTAAACTGCCAACTTTAACTTACTGTTATATCGGGACTGGGCTGCGCGACTAATTCAATCCACGTTTCTACTGTGACTGCTACTGAAATCACCAAGAAACCAGTTTTATGACGTCACTGTACGTGCAGCGTCACAATATTTCAAAGAATAATCCAAGTTTTATAATATTGTGATTTAAAATGTAACACCATCCTTGCCCCAAAAGGCAAAGTTTACACCACGTGGTTCTCTGCTCACAATCCTTTCTGGACGTGTTCGATGCCGTGGAGCCTCTCTCGGGGGTTCCCGACGTCCAGGAGGAAGAGAGTACCTCTGACTCCGATGCCTTTTCTCTATCAGCCTTCTTAACTCATCGGTGTCGTCGTTTTCCTCTCCGACCTCCGGACCGTCATCGCCAATGTGCTTTATTTTCTCTCCTTTTTCGTGTGAAAGTTTGCCGTATCTTCTTTTGAGCATTGCGTCTCTTGCATCATCTTCCTCGTACAATAGCTCGTCTTTTCTAATATCACCGCTACTGTCCCTTACATCATACTGACTGTACCTTCTGCGTGATTTTTGTCCATCCTTCACGTGTAGCGTGTCATCCCTGAAGGACGTTGGTTTATCTATGTGATCTTGTGTGTATTTAGATTCGTCCTTTGTAAATGGGGTATGTTTCGTGTCGTCCTTTGTCAGTCGTCTGTGCCGAGATTTCTCCGTGTCCTTAGACAACTTCACATCTTCGTCTTTAATGAGTTTCTTGTTGTCCTCGGTGCCGTGTGACGTTCTCTCCTCTATCTGTTCTAACCGGACAGGTCTTTGACTTTGCACGGGTTTATTGTCGTCTTTTAAGGGACGTGTAGTTCGTTTTACACTCGATGTGGACCCCATCGGACTGCCCTGGTGGCACTCTGTATCCGGGACCTTATCATTTCCAAGATGTAATCTAAATCCAAATTGACGAGAGTGTAAGTACACCATGCAATCGGCATGATGATAACATGTTTACAAAAACCTGGTCAAAATTTCATCAGTCACGTTTGAATGACGGCTTTTGCTCAGAATCAAAGGCACAATGTTCGCTTTAACGTGGGTTTAAATGAACGTGGTGTACCGACTTAACTGAAAGTAAACCTAATCGATTTTTATTTTTGAAAGACGTCTCGCAAAATGAGCCATGAATAGATATTTAACTTATGCTGAAATGAAGTTCTTTTATTGATGTACCAGGGTCCGTCTACAGATGTGTGCACGATATACCTTTGACTTACTTATGTTGTAACGTGCATCAATGAGTTTTGATTCCGATTGCCCATTCAAGAGGAGGCTAAATTAAAACTGTTCTTGTCATTTTTATGATATTTATGGAATACAATTCCATACTTACTTCAATGGAAAAAAGAAACACACGTGCGAAAATAACTCTACAACTCGCAGTTATTCCATGCCAACAATTCATATTAAGCAGAAGGGGCAAAATCCGGAAATTTGGGAGGGGGTGTGATATCACTTTTCTATGGGGTGTGATATCACTTTCAAGGGGGTATGATATTACTCCAAGGGTGTGTGCTATCACCCGGGCTGATATCAACTTGTGGAAATTTTAGACTTATTACACATACAAAAAGGGTGTTATTATTAGTAAACATATGATAAATAGAGAATAATACATGCCTTTTTCCATATCACACCCAGTATCAACCCGAGACTGCAATATCAGCCCAAGGGCCGAAGGCCCGATGGCTGATATTGGTCGAGGGTTGATACTGGGTGTGATATGGAAAAAGGCGTGTTTTATTCTCTATGTATCAAACTGGTGGTTGAAAAGGAACAGCGAGGGCCAGTTATATTATATTATCTGTCATTAAAGGATTTTGGTATCTCTAATTTCGCGCCATATGACGGCACGTCATTGTTTTCATTATGACGTCACTTCCGTAAGATAAGCCATCATCCATTTTGTACCATTGGTGACGTTCTCATTTCAAGTAAGTCCGTTCTTTTTGTTGCAAACATGTGCATAACTTGCAACATATCGTCGAACGTGAGAGAGAAGATTGCAATTACGATTTGTATACTCAATAGTTTGATCGCTTTATTTGGAATAGCTCTTATTGGCATGGCAGTATACATGAAGATAAACATTGAATCTAGAATGATGCTGCTGGATGGATATGACACCGACGTTCTGCCATATTTTCTACTTGCAGTTGGAATCAAAGTGGTTATTTTACATATTGTAACCTTTAAGATTGTATACGATTGTTCGACTTCTGAGATGAATGGGCGATGTGTGAACTTTCTCTTTCTTGCGGTTATACTGTCATTTATTTTAGTCTGGTTCCTACTGGCGGGGGGGCTGATGTGTTTCACTCATCGTTCTGTTATCGAGGAGTCCTTGCAGAATGGTCTGGGCTACGTAATGAAACGGTACAAAACGGATATGTTCGTGAAGGTGACCTTGGATAAACTACAGCAGGAATATCACTGTTGTGGCAGCAATGGCTACAGTGATTGGTTTGACGTCAACTGGGTCAATGAAGAATTCCTGAACACCAAACACCCAGACATTATACGGTATGACGACTCGCTTTATGTGCACTGTACATTACACGTAAAGTTAAATGTAGTAATTATTTCATGCAGAAATACGTCCGTCGTTGGATATATCTACGATTTATGTGCAGTAGTAGGTTAATTTCAGCAGCGATACGTTAAAGAGTGGGGTGGGTTTGGGTGAGAGCGGAGCAGACCGTACGATGAAGGCAAATCCCAATTAAAAGTAAGAGCGCGTTTGTCCCAATGTTAACAACTTACGTCGTCTGCTACATTAGCTCTGTATTTATTAATTGTATCTATAATTTCATTTATATCAATCAATTACATAATCAGTCATGATATTTTTTTATTCATTTTTTCTATTTTCTACTAGGAGCTATATTTCTCTGCGCACTAAATGAAGTGTACAGTAAGTAGGGATGAAGTTCAAAGATGGCGCTTAGAAAATGTCGTATGGAAAATAGAAAGTTGAATAACAACTAAACCATAGAGTTATCATGGAAATGTGTTGTTTTTATGCGTGCAACTTGTTGCAGTTTGAGGGTATGGAGAATTCATTTCTACTTATATTTTTGTTTTTAAACTATGGAGAAAGTATTTTAAAAACCGGAAGATGGCGACCGTCTGTCGATGTTGACAGGTATTTGTTTTTTAATGGTAGATATGAGAGAGAAAAAATACTCTTTCACATGTAACGGTAGATTGATAGAGAATTCCTCCCTCTGTGATCATAATTGGGGTAAAACCAGAGGCTTATCTTTGAAAGATAAGACTCTTTCATATGTACCGGAGATGGATAGAGAATTCCTCCCGAGGGGATCATAAATTGGGGTAAAACGGTTAATCCGAGGCTCTGCCGAGTGTTTTACCCCAATTTATAGGTATAGGTAACGAGGTAGGGGCAAAGGCACATTTGATTTCGTAGAAGAAATATATATAGAGAATAATACATGCCTTTTTCCATATCACACCCAGTATCAACCCAAGACTGCAATATCAGCCCAAGGGCCGAAGGCCCGAGGGCTGATATTGGTCGAGGTTTGATACTGGGTGTGATATGGGAAAAAAGGCATGTTTTATTCTGTTTATTACATACTTACTAATAAAAGCTACTATCTTATGATCTATTTTTCTTTTGAAATATTGAAAAACGAAAAATTTCCACAACGGGTTTTGCGGGCTGATACGTGTTTTAAGGTGTGATACGGCGGGGGCTGATACGGCTTTTGGGGTGTGATACGGCGATGGCTGATATGGGTAAGAGCAATTGTGTCGTATCGCATATACAAATANGTGGGGATGCAAATTTCAATGTAATAAAGTGAGGATGCAAATATCAATGCAATAAAGTGAGGATTCAAATATCAATGTAATAAAGTGATGATACAAATAACAATGTAATGAAGTGATGATACAAATACCAATGCAATAAAGTGAGGATGCAAATATCAATGTAATAAAGTGAGGATGCAAATATCAATGTAATAAAGTGATGATACAAATA